AATTTGGTTGTGGGATGAGATGGGTCGGCACTTGGTTGATTGGTGAGGCTCATTAGGCTACTTTTGGGATTCCAGTCTGTTCCAGTTGGTTCAACATGATCAAAAATTTTCCAGTACCAACACGTCCAGAAGGGGGAATTGAATGCAAGAAGGGGAGCAATGCAGCTGACCCAGGCACTGACTGGCCCCTTGACTCAATGTCAGGCACCAACGTGCTTCCGTGACAACTACACTAATCACAAATGATCTTACCCCTAGTTGGGTTTTGGGTCTACCCAAGGTTGACCCAAAGTCTGCAGTACTTGCCCAAACCCGACCTGAGAAGGGAGCCGGGTTGGTCCGGGTTGGGTCAAAATTTCACTAACTCATACGCAGACCCACCTCGTAACTCTGCCCCACTTGCCGCGTGACTGGGTACATCCTGAGTCTGTCCCCAAGCAGTCCTAGCAATGACTCCCACATGTGAGAGTCTATTAAACCAAGGCCCTATACATGAAGCTATGATATAAGAGTAGGGGCTGAGCTGATTGGCTCCCCAGAGGGTGGAGACCTCAACTCCCATAAGACGATGGTCTCAAAATCAGGAGGAATCCTCCCCAAGATGCTGTAGGGTGGAGGATGATTAGTAATATTAAATAACAAACCCTGGTTGGTTTGGGAGGATCGACTCCCAAACCAACTGGGGTTTTTTATTTATGTTTATTTAAATTTTTAGGGAGTCAACTCCCAAACCAGTCAACGGTTTTGGGGGATCGACTCCCTAATTTTGGGGGTTTTGGGGTTTGGGAGTCGACTCTCCAATTTTGGGGAGTCGATTAACCAAGGCCCTAAAAATAAAAATGAGATTATTTATGCTAATTAATTGTCATAAGATAACATGTAATTATTTGCCTATGTTGATTATTGTAAGTTACCATATATGAATGTGTGAGCTAATTTTATGATGATGGGTGTTTTTTTTTCCCTATTGATCACAACTGGGAGGGCAAGGTCTGAGATGTAGGCTGTTACATTTGTATGTTTTTTTACTGTCCCAACAGTCATCGGAAGCTGAACAGTGCCTATGGACCAGACGTCCCATGATTCCACAGTTATCTGTACCGACTTGACGAGCATGCGTACAGGTGAATATCGCATTACAGGTCCCGATGTCCTTGATTTGCATTGAGACGTAGTCGCTTTTGCAGGTTGGACATTTACCTGGGAGCTGGGGCGGGATGAAGGCAGTGACGCAGGCGAGCTGGAAGCAGTAGAGACTGAGGATGATCGAGTGCCATTTGAGAAGCATGGCGGAATGGGGGTTCCGTTGTGATGGTGGTCTTGGACAAGAGATGAACACGCGACCTACTCAAACCACGGGGGGGATGGGATCAAGTGCTGATTCAAGTGGACGGGTTGTCGGAAGAGCCAGAGTGCCGGATACGATCGAGCGCAGCAGACTGGCCAGGATCTCGAAGGTTTCAAGTTGGTCTCAAACAAACAGTCGGTCCAATGCCCAACAAATCAAACGACCCTAGAGGCGCTTCGTCTGGAAAATGGAGCTACGATGCGGACATCCTGAACGACTCGATCTCGATGAACATGGAGGACGACAGCTTCGATGGAAATGAATCGACCTTCATCCTGCCCTCCAATCCAGCTGGTCCTTCATCTTCGAGTAACCCGAGATCTATCCCAACAGGTTCCAGTCAACCTGTCCCATCAAGCTCACAGAACCGAAACAACCCTGCAGGCGATCACCACCAATTTTCATCTTCGCCCGAAAAGGAACCGGCCGAAGAACCCCGTCGGCGTAGACAGCCTAAAGCAAGCTCCAAGGATCAATGGGTTCGCCGTGAAACTGAACGCAATCGAGAGTTGGAGAATGAAAGAGACTGGTTGAGAGATATTAATCAATTGTTGGAAAAATCAGCTGACGAAATGGATCAAATCAAAGGAAAACTCGAGGTGAATTTTTGACTTTTTTTTTCACAAATTGTATGTTCGGGTCTAATCAGCGGAACTGACGCTTCCACCGGTTTTTTTGTTTGTCCAGAACGTTCAATCCGCAACTGAAACTTCTCATGAATTATTAGATCTCTATTCGAAGATCTTAACGCAAACTGAACATACGAAAGATCTGATATCTAACCCCAATTGGGAGGGACTAACTGCTGTAGGTCGAATTCCCACATTCAAAGCACCAATTGAGTAATTCATTGAATACGGGTTAACTAATAACTTGGAAATCTCTTGCGGATGATACCGACCGAACAAATGAAAAAAAAAAAAACTCAATCGAAGGATATGAAAAGGAGGGCCGAGATGAAACAAGCTGAGAAAGCGAGACTGGCCCAAGAACGAGAACGAGAACGAGAGGAAGAGTTGCTTCGAGAGCGAAAACAGCAACAGCTCGAGGCGGAGGCGGCAGCCGAGGCCGCCCGGAAACAGAGCCAATTACAGCGATCGACGCGTGGAATGGGCACTTCGACTCGGGGTCGTGGGGCGGGAACAACCGCCGGTCGTACCGCTGGAGGAAAAAGTCGGATCGGTAGAATCACGCGATAAACTCCAACCTCTGCCTCCCGAAAATGAATCGCAAAAGCCCCTCCAACTTGCCCTGTACATACAGATCTCTCTCTACAGTCAAGATCCAGCACCACGTTATTTCAAGACAGATCTACTTAACTACTCGCCGGCAAGATCTGTCCAAAGCGATTCCTCGTGGTTGGGGATGAGGGTACGATTGGACAGGTTTCCTTAGACGGACAGGATGTACTATCTATCTATGTTATACAAGACATGTAAATTTAAATGAATGTGTGTGCTTGATCAATTTGTCTTGGATTAAGGTGGATTGAATCAGGTTCCAGAATGGATTCCCCAGAAAAGTGAAAAGAGTGGCTTATTACAATGTCAAAAAAAAAAAAAAAAAAAAAAAAAACTCAAAGATTAGGATTGTGTACCCAGAAATTGGCTCGAAAGTTACAATTGGCCCTGAAGTTACAAATTCAAGTAGGGTTATCTCACTGATGATGTGAGTGGTATGGTACCACATGCTGTAAGGCTTGTTCTCCAGTGCATGCACTTGATGTACTTATCGTATCACCTGTGGTTAAATTACACAGAACTTGAGTAACGTAGCCTATAACTCCACATGTGTTCAATGGAAGTTTGACTGACTGGACTTGACGACAAGTTGACTTTGATTTTGAATGGCAGAATTCAAACCATGAGGGAATCCTCTCTACCTATGTACCCTACCCACTGGGTGTGTATGCTGTATATATGCACACTTGGGAGTCAAATTGGTTCATTAAGGAGTTTTTCTTCCAGATGAATTTATCCATTCCTTTTATATGCACTTATCCTGGCCAATCCCCGAACCTGCAACACACCAATTCTGCTTGTCTTTATTCTTCTTCTTTTTTCATTACATCCCAACAGACACACAATTATAGACCAACACAAACAAAACATATGAAAAAGAAGAAAAGAGATAAAACATTGATATTTTTTGGATTGGTTCTATGTATGAATTTCATCTATCTCTTTTCTTGATAAGAAGCAAGAGCAAAAAAGTATTGTGTTCAGACGTTTGAAGTCAATTTTTGGTTTTCATGTTTATATCAAAAGAAAAAAAAATAAAGCGGAATGCGTTTGATTGAGAAAAAAGTGTAGAGAAAAAAAAGATGACAAGCAAAAGTGAATGATAAAAAAAAGGTAAAGAGGTATTAAGTAATTAGAAAAAAACAAAAGCAGCGACGATGATTAACCAAAGGCAGCCATAGGTTGGTCGCTCTTATCAGAATGAGTGACATCAGGGTTTGGATTTGAGAAAGCTTTAGAGCATTGAGCCATAGTGATTGAGTTTCTAGAGATAGGATCGGTGAAGTAGAAGTCTTTGATCGGCAAGCCCAAGGCGCCAGTTTTGAGGGAAGATTTCGAAAGAGGAGAGGGAGGTTGATGGGAGGCGATGGATTGGATGGCTTCGAGTGAGGTCGAGCTGGGGACCAACTCGTCGTATCTGATGAGACTTGGGCAGACCTCCCACATTCGATTCTTCAATTGGATCGGATCATCATAGGGTAAGCCGACGTTCAAGACCTCCGAGACCGCCCTGATGATCTTCCAATCTTCTCGCGACGAGCCGGGCGAGGAGACCGCGATTCTTCCCAATTGACTCCGCCCTTCAGTGTTCACCCAGGTGGCCGATTTCTCTGTGTAAGCTGTACCAGGTAAACAGACATCCGCGTAACTGGCACCCAGGTCTCCGTGATGACCTTGGTAGACGACAAATGCATCCTTAGGGATCCTGCTTGGATCGAAATCATCTGCGTTCAAGAGGTAAATGAATTTCGGTTGAGCTTTGCTGGCCGAGTTCGACGGAACAAATCCGACATCGTACGCCGCCGTGCTTGACGCCGTCTATCACAATCAAATTAAGGGTTAGGCTTATCTGCGGTAAAAAGAAGCACGCTTGAAAGGGTTTTTTTTGACTTACGCGCTGAAGAACGTTAAACCCGTTCCATTCTGGTGTTAAGAATTGTGCTTTGTGAGCTTCAACAAAGCCAGCCAATGACTTGTAAATTTCTTGACCATCAGCATGGTCATTGACGGCACTTCCAATGATGATCATCGGCTTCTTAGCGCTTTTGAATGATTCAGCGAATTTTCCTTTTCCTGAGGTGAAATCCTTGACAGCCCGGAGGTCTGCACCAAGATGATCGAATTCGAAGACACTGTCGAATTTTTCACCGATCAAGCCTACCCGTAAGCCTTTGTTCAACCAAGATCTTCGGAATCGACTGTTGAGTACGGCTGCCTCGTGTCGTGGATTGGTGCCCACCAGCAAGACGAAATCAGCCTCATCGGCGCCAACTATAGTCGAATTGAAAGCGTAATTCTGTCTGAAATCAACTCCATGCGCTGGAGAAGCGTCGCCCGAAAGATTTTCTAATGCAGTATTGTCCGATCCTAACTTGTTGATGAGGTCCTTCAGGGCCACTAGAGATTCAGTATCAGCTAGTGCCCCAGCGATGGCTTTGATTTCGTTATTCTTGGCACCGGATTCCTTCAAGCCTTCGGCGACAGCGGTTAAAGCCTCCGCCCAAGTAGCCGGTTGAAATTTCCCATCAGTTTTAATCAAGGGGACCGTTAGCCGCTGAGTTTTCAAGCCGTCATAAGCGTAACGGGTTTTGTCGTGGATCCACTCTTCGTTGACATCCTCATTAATTCTAGGTTGGATTCTCATGACTTGTAATCCACGAGAATCGATTCGAATGTTGCTACCCAAGCCGTCCATGACATCGATTGATTCGGTCAATTTAAGCTCCCAGGGACGGGCAGTAAAAGCATATGGTTTCGAAGTGAGGGCTCCAACTGGACATAAGTCGATAATATTTCCGCTGAGTTCACTGTTGAGAGTCCTTTCGATGTAGGTCCCGATCTGCATATCATTGCCACGACCGGTCGTGCCAAACTCATCGACCCCAGCGACTTCATTGGCAAATCGGACGCAACGGGTACATTGGATACATCTTGTCATGACTGTCTTGACGATCGGACCCAGGTTTTTGTTCTCGACGGCACGTTTGCCGGTATACTCCTTGAATCTAGATCGGTCTGAACCATAGCGCATCGATTGATCTTGAAGATCACACTCGCCTCCCTGGTCACAAATCGGGCAATCTAGAGGATGGTTTGCCAGTAAAAATTCCATCACACCCTCTCTAGCCTTGTGAACCAAAGGTGTGTTTGTGAACACTTTCGAACCTGGCCTGAGTGAATAGAAACAAATAACAATTGTGGTTGTTAATTTACATGTAGAATTCTAGATCGTGCAGCTATGAAAGAATCAACCCGCTTACATGGCAGGCATTGCGCATGATGCCACTGGTTTAGGTGATTTTTCTACCTCAACCAAACACATCCTACCAAATTTAGAAAGGAAATGAAAATTGAAAAAAGTTATTAGTATTTGAATCAGGTGGAGGCTCTTTTTTTCCTTTGCCACAAAGTGAAGTTAGGGTAGGTGAATCAGGGACTGCAAACCTGCAGTTTCCAGCGATAGCCAACCGGTCATGATAGCAAAACCTTGGGATCTATGGAGATAAGTAAGCCGATTGAGCCATTTCTATTGTGATCAATTTGACTAGAGACTCACTGTGGCACCGGCTTTCTCGCATCTACATCCAAATAAAAAAAAATGGAGAAACCCGATTGGTATTATAAGGTGATGGATGGAATCATACGATTTGAAGCGGGATCCAACTTACGCTTGAATGAGGGCGCTACCCTGTTCGACAGTCACCTTTTTACCATCGATTTCTAGCTCGATTTCAGCCTGATGTCGAGGGGTCGAGCTGAAGTGGTTCGGATGAAGGATAGCAGATGGTCTTGCGATGGTCTGTCTGTTGAGGATCGAGAGAGTAGTTTTACTGCTTGCTCGGATCATACTGGTTCTTTCGTGGTTACTATTGGGGGAAGGGAGATCAAGCAAATCGTGTGGTTTAAGATTGGTCAACAGCCGATGGAGTGGTCAACAGGCAAGCGTTGAGAGGGGGAAATGACGAGCGTGAGGGGGAGGGGCAGGGGACAGTCGAGTGACAGCCGAGTGAACTCCGAGCTGGGATCGATCGAGCCTGCTTACATCACGGTCCCCTGACCAATCAGCTCTCGCCCGTCTCCGGAGGCTGGCTCCGGCCGGTTCTTGCTCGGCCCATCGACCCTGATACTGCCGATGAACAACCACACATTAAAACGAAAGACCGCAATCGCCGATACATAAAAGGAAGATGGGAGCCCTCAAGCTAGGTCAGTATCCTCGCTTCCCAAAGGCTTTTCTTCCAGAAAAAAAAAATAATCAGAAAAGACGAGTCAAGGTGGATCACTCATGATGATATCATTCTAAATTCGTCTGTCAAAGTCTTTGTCACGGGGAATGCGAATAAGTTACGAGAGGTCAAGAAGATCTTATCTACGGACGTCTCATCTGAGGATTCGCTCAAAATCGAAGTGGACTCTAAAGCACTAGATCGTGAGTGAAATCGATCAGAATCCAGAACAATCAACTCAAGACGGTCCTCTTACCAGTACTCTCAACCCGAGTATCTATACGTAGTCCCCGAGGTCCAAGGATCAACTCAAGATGTTGCGAGAGAAAAATCTAGAGCTGCTGCGAAATTGATCGGTGGACCCTGCATAACCGAGGCGAGTTTTTCTTTTGCCAAATGATTTTTAGTTAGCTATTCAATCGACACTCACTCGATCTTGTTTATCTATTTAGGATACGGCATTGTGCTTCAAGGCCATGGGCGGCTTGCCAGGTGAGTACCTTCAATTAACTCTAATTCTCTGCAGAAGAAAGATCGCCGAACTGATTGGAAATAAGTATGGATGGATTAAGAAAGGTCCATATATTAAATGTAAGTCCGATATGGAGATTAGCTAGCAAAAAAAAAAAAAAGCAGCAAATTTACGAAGCCTCTAACACTACTTGATATTTTTAGGGTTTTTAGAAAAGCTAGGATTAGACGGTATGTAATGAGACCCTATCGGAGCAAACTCGCCCAATGAAGCCTGAACATATATATTTCGATTAAAAATTAGGATTGAATAAGATGCTCCAAGGATTCTCGAGCACTGAAGCAACAGCCTTGTGTACATTCGCATACTGTGAACCAGGAAAAGAACCGATCCTATTCGAAGGAGCAACAGAAGGAAACATTGTACCCGCACGAGGGCCCACCAATTTCGGATGGGACCCAATCTTTGAAGTCTCAGGAACTGGGATGACGTTAGTAACCTCCTTGATTGATTGTCTCAATGGATATGGGTGCTACATGGTTTCTTTCAGCTGACTTTCTTCTCTCCCTTCTTCGATGGTCGGTCTCTGTGTGGATGCATGCTGTATACAGATATGCGGAAATGCCAGCCGAGCAAAAAAACAGCCTCTCTCATCGTTCGAAAGCTTTGGACAAACTTCGTCAACACTTTTCGAGGCGGTGATTCCCAGTGACATTCTTTGGCAGATTTTGTAGCTATCAAAGAGTCCCACTCATATATCCAAACCTTTTCGAGCTGGTATCTCCCACTGAGATACTAATTTATTGGGGGTTGAAGCAAAGCATTAAATGGAATTTGCTCAATGACACATTTGACAAATCTAAAAGCTGAAAGCTAGTGATACATCAAAAACACTTGACCACTATTCTTCTACATTGTACAAGTTTGCTGAGGACGGTCAAGTTAACTTTGTGATGGACAAGCTTCTGATGAGGGCTACGGCGTAACCAGGTGCTCAGTATTCCGGATTGTTCAAAGTGATATGCACAAAAAAAAATCCAAAGAGCCTTGAAAGACAAGTGCAAAATCATAATAATCCACCGGTAAGACCGGAAGATATGTTCTTGAGACAGAACGCCAAGATTTGGGACAGGTAGTTTCGCCCTATGGGTATAACATGTGCGTATATGTGAGAAACAGACGAAATTTCAACAGAGGGGTAATGTCACTATGCTTGGTCTAAACAAAATTAATACGGTGTTTGATTTGAGACCAGTAATATTTAATTCGATGATGAGTCAAGAGTTGTCAGGCCTGTTCAAGATGATCGAATGTGTCCTCAGTCAATATGATGATGATAAACGAGGGCGAGATAGATGGGAAATGAAGTTTTGTAGCTGTGAGGGCACTCACGGGTGTGCCCTCATACTCCTGAATATCGAACAGATTCCTGAGCTTCTTCGTTCCATGGCCATCCACTTTGAGGTTCCGATGAGCTGGACTGGCGATGGAGTCCGGGAGAGGGCTTCCGAGGTTGTTCTGGGAGCGAAGTTGACGTTGGTTGTTGTTAGAGAGATCGAGATGTTCGAGATAGGCGACCCGGGCCTTGACTGCCCTGAGCCGACTGTACTCCGAATGCCTTCGCATCCACGTCGTCACTTTGAGCACCGTAAAGATCAAGGCTAGACCTAGCAGAATCAGCGAGACCGTCGTCGCTGCCGCGATGATTGTGGAGGTGTCATTATGATCACTGGAATTTGGATATTTAGAATACACATTGATCATGTCAGTAATTAGAAGTTCTAGGAAAGTTGATAGAAATAGACTTACTCAAGAGGTTGTCCACTCGAATCAAGAGGCATGCCTGGACACCAAAAAGGGTTGAAGAGGATGACGGATCAGCCCCGCTTGAGGTACATTTGCACGATAATCATCACCAGACCGCGAACCAACCCGAGCTGATGGCCTGCTGATTGTCGCTCGACGAGGGCATTTCAAGGAAGTGACCTGATGGTCCTGAACGACGGCTGAAGTGCTTCGAGAGGTCGCTGGAATCTAGGCCGGGATGGAGTCATCGAATGAACAGTTGATGGTCGGCACTGTGTCAGTCTCCGGCAGACTTCGCAAGAACCATCCTCGCCGAGGCAAAGCGGAAGGCCGAGCCGCGCGTATTTACTGAAGGCGCGCACAGGCGGCACCGCATTCACTCAACAACTTGCATGAAAGAGATGGGAACAACAACAAAATATATTTGCATCTGAAATGAACACGTTGGATAAACCTGGATAAACAAACCAATGCTTCAAAGTAAATGTAAGCAATTGCATTTGCAAGTTTTCCATCCCCCGGTGTTCCTAAACTTTCCTACTTAGGAGTCGCGACCAAACACCTCACTAGACTATCCACCATGCCACAATTAGACGATCAGCTCCTAAAGAGAAAACCTGAGTTTCAAAGCGAATTCTAGCTGTCGATGCTTGTCTCCTTATGACAAGAGGCCAGAGGATTTCAACCAATTGAGCTAGATAGTGATGAAAATGTCGAATTCATACAAAACTTAGCAGACAGCGGATTATATCCGTCTGCCCCTAAAGTACATAATAGTGACACGCATTTCATGTTTTTTTATCTTGTGCTCTTTCCCATTCTCACTAAATCTCATGGAACTACTTGGATCATAAAGACGAATTCTATGCTTGCATTGATTGGCGCGAGTTGGGTGGTTGAACAAAGATGAGAAAACTTAGCAGGGGATACAACAACGAGTTGAAGGATTTTGTACAGATGGTCAGAAAAGAAAGAAACTGAAGAAAAGAATGGTGGGCCGAATTCCCAATGACGATGAGTCGTGATATTGTGCACCCAGGATCTGCAAGACTTCCTCAGACTGGGGACCAGTCGGTTGCGGTGTTGTTGGGTTTGTTGCTGCGTGGAAAAAAGAAAGAGAGGATGATTAGAAATCAAATCATGCTATCAAAACAATTCAAAAAAAAGGGGGACGGTTTGACGAACAAGTCCCAGGAAATTCCATCGTAAATGTAGCCATCCTGTTGTTCTTGAGAAGTGGGATTCAACTTGTTGAAGAGCTGCTCGAGTTTATGAATCAGTCAATCCTGAATATTGTAATGAGGCTGAGGTGACTACAATCAAAATAAAAGACCAGATACTTACCGCAAGAGTGATCCCAATTTCGAAGCATCCCGGCTCAGGTGTCTTGGCCTCAAAATAACATCCTGAAGAGCCAAAGCAATTGTTAAATTTGGCGCGAAATTGAATCAAGCCAATCCTCAGCAGATTATCTCCTGATCAACTCACCATCGAGAACATTCACGTATTGAACTGTTTCGGGATGCCCCTTGCGCTGGATATATCTGAATTCAAATGCGGTTTGGGGCACATCTGCGTTAGCTTTCAAGAAGTTGAAAAAGCTTGAAGGGTCTGTCTCACACTTGCTTCCCGCAATTGGCGGTTTGGTCGCTAAGGGAAGAGAGAAGTGTTAGTTGATTGACCGATTCATGTCATCGGAAACTCAAGACATTCAGTGCGTACCCGTTAAGCCATCCTGCAGTTTCCGCGGTCGGGTTGTCTTGCTCGGCTCCATTCCAGAGGCACACACCGAGTTGGGTGTTGGTGTCGTAATGACCACAGGTCTACAAATCAAATTATGTGAGACTGAGACTCAAGGGAGCGATGGCGCAAGTAATGACTGAAGCAACATACACCATTACCACCGGAGACGTAAAAGCTCTGAGTTAACAAATCATTGGAAAGAATGAAATAGAATGAATAATTTGCTTCGCGATCAGGGGATGGATGTAACCACACAAGAGACAAACCGGTTGAGTGTCATCATATCGGCGTTCCAAGCCAGGAATTTGACTGCGCTTGGCTTTTGAGACCTCGGGGTTCATGGCGAACTGAGTGACAAACGGGTCGGAAAACCCCAAAAAAAGTTAGAAAGAGACCTTGTTTTTGAGTCACCAATCATCAATCCGGTGAACTGCTCACCGCCTTGACTGGCTGAGATGGCCTTTTTTTCGGGGCAGCGCATCTTTGGCTCTCCTCCCCGGCAGAAAAGACACATCCGTCTTTCGCCAGGAAGTAGTCGTAACACCTGGTATGGAGCGTGGCCGTTACGGCAGAGAGCGATAGCGCGAAAAAGAGGGCGGTGGTGGTGCACTTCATTGTGGAAGGATGATCGATAACAGAAAGATTGAATGATATAAAGGCTAAGGGAAGTATTAGGTCTAAGGGGAGGATGAAGGAAACGGATTACTCTGGATTTATACGTTTTCCAACCCTCATTGGACAATCTAACTCATGGTGTCCCTCCCCTCTTCACACTCTCGACAAACCGGTCGAATCGCACATTACAACGGGATCGTGGGCTCCCTTGGACTGTCAGTGGTGACTCGCCGTCACAGGCAGTCATCCGCGATCTTGAGTCTTGCCCTCACGGCCGGCATACTGTGGGAACGCATCCCTATTGCATCTACCGATACGGCAACCGGAATTTTTGTCGGGATGACTGCAAGTATTCGTAGTCCCCCGATAGGGAGCTGGAAGTAGATCAATAATTGAGTAGAAAGCACGACTCGCACGAGACCGTCCCAAATGGGGACATCTAGACCAATCATCCAGAAACCCACGAAGAAAAAACATGATGAACCATGATTAGCATGATTGGCCTGCCCGAGCTCTTCTCAAGCCACTGCGCAGCTTGCCCATACACATTGTACCTACTCGCCGAGGAGGGATCCTCCCCGTCGAGCGGGTATACTTGTTAGCAGTTACCTAATCGGCGGTGCACCACGCACCTATTCCCCGGGCAGGATTCGGTACAAGCGGTATCGCTCTGCCGGGTGCCCACTCTCGGAGAATCCTCGACGAGCAAGTTATGACAAGTGTACTGTTTAGTAGGCGGAGGGGTTCCCATCGACAATCACTTGGTACCTGTTCGTTAAGCGATCTTCGTCCCCCAGAGAGTCGGTCTTGTAGCTACAAAGCACGAGTAAAGTATCCCCAAATAATGAAGCTCTCAACACCAAGTCAAGCGTAGTTAGTTCTGATCTGAGTTATTGGCCGCACTGCTGGCATCACTCGTCTTAGCTCGTATTGGACTGCAGCGTATTTGCCACTAGAACGAACATCCAAGAATTATACGCCAGGGTAAAGTAAGCATATGGAGATTCGATTTTCACCTACGGCGGAGGAAATAAGAAGTAACGACTTTCCTCCTGCTTCGTGCATCTTTTGACCGAGTCTCCCTATACAAAATGATCGGCGAAGATAGCTGATGGCTTGGAAAATCTGTTCCTTACACTAAGGCAGACTTACGGTATATATTTTCCGACTGTCCATAGGTGAGCTCACATATTTAAAAGTGGGAAAGCCTTCGCCAGAGTGACTCAGTGAGCATGGGACTCAGTCTGAGTCCCATGCTCAGGCGGCCCCCACATCACCTTAAAAGGTGACCCAGTCGGGACAGTAGGCACTTCACCAATAGCTTCGCCAAATATTTTCACTGCCTCTCTTTCCAATATGGCCTTTCCGTCCCCCATCCCCCGAAAAACCAGTCAGATAACTGAAGAAGTACACCAACCAGTCACAACTATCAATTTTGTGACAACAATCGAGAAGACCGTGATATTCGGATCACCAACAGCTGTCGCCTAAGTTCCCAGAGCAACAGCTTACGCCAATGTCAATCCAGTCACATGGGTTCCCCTTGTAGTCCTCGCGATCCTCTTCATATCTGGGGCGATGGTGGTCGGGTATATGACCTGACGCAAGAGGACGGGAAATGGCTTCAGGATGTTACTGCCATCTAGGAAGCTTCGAAAGCTGCGGAGACAGAAACGCAAGATCGCTGGGCTGTATGTGCAACCGGTGAAAGGCTCGATTTTGAAAATTCTGCAATCAACAATCGGCCGCCTGCTACTGTCCCAGTCAGAGGAAAGAATCCTGCCACAAAGATGTAGAAATGACTCGGTTGATCCTTGAGAGGAAAACTCCTCGTCGACCCCCCAGCCCTTTCAAGCCACTTACTCCCGGAATAGTCTGAAAGCTGGTGGGTTAATTCGATAATTTCTTCTCTTTCGTTCTTTTTACATCGCGCCCCTAGACCCTACTCCCGATTAGAAATCCCAACCAGCTTGTGATGTCGGCATCCATATTTTCCAGTCATTTTTGAAGTTGGGGGTGGAAAATCCCATATTCAAGTCATCATTCCTTTCAGAAATAAACTTACAAGATCATAGCGCCCTTGTGGGTCATAAATGGAGTGCCATTTGGCTTTGAGTGGGAAATAGAACGATGGAGTCTTGACAATCTCCAAGCCCTTCGAAATCATGATCTTTGACATGTTATCGATATTCACTGCCTAGAACAAACTATAAACAAGATATCAAATTAGTTATCTGAGCAGAAGATTTGCTTTTGTGAAAAGAGGAGGAAGGACTTACTTGGGGAACAACATCAGTTTGCATTGGATTGACGGCCACTTGACCACTCAAACCACTAGCCATTTTGACATTCTGAATAAATTAATAAGAAACAACGTTAGAATCAATCGGAGAGGAAGATAAAGAGAAAAAGAACAAACTTACTGGCTTAATCTCTTCAATAACCGGTTCATCCACAACCATATCGTTGGGAGAAGGTTGAGCTACTTGAGTAGGCTCTGGCTCCACATATCGCGGTCAGGGTAGTACCTAATTCCATTCTGAAAATAATTATACTAGTATCAATTAACAACACACATTAGCATCAAGAAACACAACACATTAGAATAAAAAGATCAGTTTTCTTACCTCAGTCAAGCGCTTGGAGCCATAGTCATAGTCAAGGGTGTAGTCAGGGGTAGAGTACCGGGAATACATGTTTGAACTGGAAATTTTTGAAGAGAAGAAGTTGATTGAGTAGTGTGGAGTAAATCTGGTTTGGAGTTACGCGGAGATTGACTAATACATGGTGTGGAACTACTCTTTGGGATGAATAGAGCTGGAGAGGGAAAGATGCTTTAATGGGCTGCCTCTCTGGTAAACTGGGTTGAGTAAGATAACAACAAAAAGATAAGAGTGTGGACTCTTAAGGAAAGGTGTGGCTTTGGAGGATTCTTGAGATGGGTATGTCTTCTGTCTGAATAATACTAGTATCCCAAATGTTGATGGGCAACTACTAGCAACAATGAAACTGATGTGATGCATGCATACGTATCGCATCCTATCGGGCCTTTATTGCATCGCATCGTGAGAGCGATCAGTTTCATACTCATTTTTGATAAGTTGGGGGAGAAGATTCATCTCTTATGAACTCAATCTTGAATGAAGTTTTTGTTTTGTTTTCTTCTCTAAGGAATGGTTGAGGACAACCATATAAGTTGGGGGAGGGGGTTCTTTTCTTTTTTTTCCTTTTTTTCTTTGACTTAATCAAAAATTAAAACTTTTTGACTCACCTCAAATCAAGAGTGTTTCTTGATTCTGGGTCAGAACTCAAAATACTCAGGAAGAAGTTTTTTTATGTACAAAATATTTTTTTCATTCTTAGAAGATCTCATAGTCCCAGGAGGTCAAGAAGACACTTGGGTGGGCCTCACCTCACAAGGAGCAAGCCTGATATTAAAATAAACCTATATACAAGAGGGCTGATAATAGTACATAAAAAGAAACTTATCTTTTTTTTCTTCTTTAGGATTTTTTAAGTTTTTTTCTCTCTTTTAGTATTTTTTTATATATAAAGGGAAAATGGAGAAAAGGAAGAGGCACTATAGCCTAGTAGTTGGGGAATATTCATAAAAGAGAAAAGCGAAAAAAAAATTTTTGGTAGTCAGCATGATGAAGAAGAGTCGGTAGAAGGAGGATGAAAGAAGAGATTACTTACCTAGGGATAGCCTCAGTGGGTGGCCAAGAAAACTTGGCGGTCAGCGGTGAAAACCCATTGTAGGTTTTGATAAAACTGGACGCGATCCTCGATTTCACTGAGAGTCGAGGCGGGATACTTATTGGTCAAGTGAATAAAATCGTTGGCGAAATGTTGGAACATGAAGAGGAGGTCTTCCTCACGATAGACTTTAGTACCGAATGGATACGGGTGTGAACCGACAAGGCGATTTCAAATGGTATTGTAATCGAACTCCATCATTTCTCGAGCCGAAGGGTTGGGATTGACGGGGTTGGTTGGAGGACAAGCCTGTTGAGTGGAGCCCCACTCGGTGGTCGGGCCGAAGGGAACAGAGTCTGGACGAGAGTCGGCAGAAGAATCATCGTCGACGACCATGGGGTCATCGTAGGAGTTACCTGAACCCGTGGCAGGCTGAGTTGGTCGGGGGCGTGTGGCGTAAAATATTTCCGAGGGAGGAACCAAATGAAGATCCGAGGAGGATGGCGATGGAATCGCCGATGAGTGAGGAGTGGAGGGAGGACCAGAAGTCGGGGCGCTGGAGTTAGACTGAGATTTCAGAACTGGAGGACTCGGAATCAGAGGCGGAGCTCCCGTCGGTTGAGCTAGGATTGACGAAGTCGGGGCTTCTGAGCCCGGGAGGGAAGCTTCCACCCGACGGGGTAAAAGCTGGGGACCAGCGGCCTTGGATGGGATAAAAGTTAATCCCCTCTTGAACCTAGAGAAAGGGATGAAATGAGCTGCAAACTCTGCCTTTCTATATTATCAGAAAACAAGACCACCAAGTTAAGCTTGGCAGTTTGGTTGGTGATAATGGATTATGTTCAAAGATGGTTGTATAATTGTTGAAGGTTGATCTTGTTGTCCAAAGAATTGATTGAGTTGGTGATGTTGTTTCTTGTGTTGATGTCTTGATACTTGTTTACTTCCTTGATGCTGTATATGTATAATGTAATAGAGGTGGTTCTTGAACCCAAAGGGTCTGGGAGCACTATGCTTCAACCAGGACTGGAACAAAGGACTGGCTCTTCTGTGTAATGTCTGTGAAACTGGGTATATATTTCAGCTGTGAACTGTACTTCTTGTGAACCTCTTGTGTAATAAATATCTGTGACAGGTGTCCCACCAAAGATGTGTACTGAGTGGGATGAGGAGGGAAACAACTGGCAGGCAGAGGCCTCCTTATATAGTAATTTATGAGGGATTTTAGCCCCAAGGGACCCCCTGTATGAGGCATTTTAGCTGCCCTTTACCTGAAAATACTGAGGGATTTTGGCTAGACTATCTACAATTTATCCCTTTTATATGCAAGCTGTAAGAAAGGAATCTATGTGTTCTGTGGCTGAATAAATGGGAATTTAACTGGTACAACTGGTGGCCAACTTGTGGTTCTGTAAGTATAAAAGGAATTCAATATGAATAAAAGGAATTCAATATGCAATATACCCTCCAGCTGAGTGCCTCTGATCCTGTGATTCTCCGTGTGACATCCTTGATTCTGCGCAACTTCTGATCCAGTAGAGATATGAAGGTGGTTCCAGTGAGTTACTAGGGTTTAAATTGGCCTTAGATTCCATTTCTGACGTCCATTTGTCCGTATCTTGAGTCCTTCATTGATAAATAATAAAATTTTGATTTTTCTCCCTTCATACACAGGAATAATGACCACATCGGGCCTTTATCGCATCACATCGCGAGAGCAATGCGGGGCCCCACATCACATTGCTTGCATCAGATTCTTCGATGCAGTGTATCAGTATCGCATCGGCAAAGCGATGCACTATAATTTGGTGGCATCGGTTTGCATTGCTTTCCGATGCGATGCCGATGCAATGCATCGCTTTTTCAATGCGATGCCGATGCAATGCATCTCTTTTTCGATGCGATACCAATACATGGCTATTTATCGCATCACATCACATTGTTTCACCGTTGCTACTAGGCTAATGAAGGGTGATCAGTTCTCTGGATTGCTGGGGCAGGATCTGATGGGGAACAAATGAAGAGGGGAAAACAAGGCTCCTTATATACAATATCTGGGGAGTGGCCAGCTTGTGGTTGGAAACACCATGGAACAAAATGAAACAAGAGAAAATTATCAAACTGAAACAATGTGGCCCAATGGGTAGACACTAAGATGAATGGGGGAAATGACATCAGAGACATGCTGTCAGCCACAGAGTACATATCACAGTACCTTTCATGTACCAAGTAACTGCAACACCTGTACTTATTATATAAGTAATCATCCATAATGTTGTTTACCTTAACCTCTTGTTATCTTATCATTATCATTACCTTATCTTATTTATCTTATATTTATCTTATCATTTACTTACTTATCTATTGAATACATACAGCACTAATTTGCACTCTATCTTATCTCTGATCTATCGTCTCAAAGGCTAGAGGGTTCCCTCTGGCCTCAACAGGCCCATGTAGGAGTGTCCTACATGTAGGCTAATACACAATTCACTCCTAAGTCGCTCTGTTTTTCTGATATGTTCAGAGCAACGCTGTAACAGAAACAATACACTGTGTGTATCATGGAGAATTCTGCAAAGCTGCATGGCCAAAAAACAAATTTGTCGAATCTCCTTGAAAATAAAAGCAGATTGGTCAGATAGCTTTTTTTATTGGGGCTCAGATACATAGTGATACATGGCAGATACCATATCTGTTTCAGCGTTGTTCAGAGTCATAAGTCCCCCCTTCTCTCTCCCCTTCTGCCCCAAACTCCTACTCTGCTAATTTTCCCACACATTTCTTCCTCCTTCTTCTCACACTGTCCTCCACTGTCACTCCCTTGCACTCCGCTTGTCACCCCTCCAACACCTGCCAGTCAAATGTACTCTCCGGCCGCTATTCAGACAAGTCTCCCACTGCCTAGAAATTGTTTGTTCGTACTCGGGTACCTGTTGGTACCTAGGTACCTGTTCAATTTTTCAAGAAAATAGGTACCATGTACCGCACCTGGAACCTCCCGGCGGGTACCAGCGGTACCTGCCCTCTGTTTCTCACTTATTAGTCCTTTCTGCATTGAAATCAGCTTGCTACTTGGTAGCTGTTTGATGTATCAAGTGGTTGGCTCTTGTGCATGATCTAAAGTACCAAAGTAAATATATAAAGTTGTCTGCTGGGGGTTGATAAGCGCACGCCATTGCAGAATGGCATGCAGGCAGGCACACCACTCGCCTGCAGGGGGTATACCCTGCAGGTTGGTGTGCCTGCCTTCACGCCCAACTTTAGGTCCTAAACGCAGATTTATGTGCGTTTAGGACCTGGGCTGTCCCATAGGACCCAGGCATGGGTCCTATGGGACGGCCATGCCATTGTTTTTTTTTTTTTTTTTTTTTTAAAACCCCCTCAGCCTAGAGAGGTCGAGGTCACACCGCCAGGAGGAACCCCTCCCAGCAAGCCTGTGTACATGCCAGCTTGTCGGAAGGAATCCCTTCCGACAAGCTGTCCGTACATGATCCAGCTCGTCGGAAGGGGTTCCTTCCGACAAGCTGGCTTTCAAACCAGCTTGCCGGGAGGAACCCCTCCCGACGAGCTGGATTATGTACCAGCTTGTCGGAAGGGATTCCTTCCAAGGAGCTGGTATACAAACCAGCTCGCCGGAAGGGATTCCTTCAGACAAGCTGGTACAAAATCCAGCTCCGGTGAGCTCGCTGGCTTGACTTTACATGATCATCATGATCCTGCCCATCCTAGTACTGGGCCCAATAATTTAGCCTCATGATCATCTGCCACTGCCTCCGCTCCCAATCCTGCTGGAGGACCTGCCCCCAACGGGAAGAACTCTTCCACAGCTGGCTCGGTTGTTCAGAAAGGTTTTGATAGTTACAAAGTGTGGAAACCTAAAAGGACACTAAGATTGTAAAGCAAAGTGAGTAAAGAGAGAAATATACGGTAGACAAACTGAGTGTTTGTGGAGTTGACGAAGGTGAATGATAGCCTGAGTCCGTTGAGATGGCCAGAGATGGAGCCGCAGATAACCTATCGAGGACATTCAGCGACGATCACCAGTGTTGCCATTTCCTCATCGCCGCCACGGATCTACTCTGCCTCGTTAGATTCAGTCGTCTTGGTGTGGTCGCTGCCGCCACCTGAGCACGAGACATATGCGCCGTACGATCCCCGCTCATTGTTGGCAAGCTTTGTAGGCCACACCGATGTGATCTGGGACATGGTCCTGCTACCGCTCCGGCTCCGTGACGAGGCGCTGTTGGAAACGGTTAGTGCAGACGGGACGGTGAAGGTCTGGAGCACCGACAAACTCAACTCGCCGCTGAAATTGAGCTGGGGATATGACGGCTTTATTGATGAGGATCTTCCTCAGGCTTCGCAACCCACCCCGTCTAACGGACTCACCGTCATCGATGCTAATGGCTCCCCGGTTAAGGTCACCCCTACTAGCGTCGCAGTCGTTTGGTCTGACCTCAAAAAAGTCGCGGTCTCGTACTCAGATTCGGTCATCCAGCTCGTTGGGAGGGGTTCCTCCCGGCGAGCTGGTTTGAAATCCAGCTTGTCGGAAGGAACCCCTTCTGAAAAGCTGGATCATGTACGGACAGCTCGTCGGAAGGGATTCCTTCCGACAAGCTGGCATGTACACAGGCTCGCCGGGACGGGTTCCTCCCGGCGGTGTGACCTCAGCCTCTCTAGGCCGAGGGGGTTTGAAAAAAAAGGGCATTAATAAAAAAACACGGTTTTTCCGCGTTTACACGCGGTTTTGCTGCGGTTTCCGCGTTTAAACACGGTTTTGTAATTAATTTTGGGCATTATTAAATGTACCCCCCTTTTCTGCTATCCACACCCGGTTTTTCACACCTGGTTTTCTGCTTCTACACCCGGTTTTCCCCAGCCTTTTTAATTCATTTTTTGGCAATTCTGAATATGCTAAAAATCTTCTAAAATTGATCATTCTTTTTGGGTATATAAAAAATTCTCAAAAGAGAACTTCAATTTTTTTATTTTTCTCACCAATTTTTTCCCAATTTTTTTTTGACCCTATGAACTCTTGAAACCTTGAGTTAAACCAAAACTTATTATTAATTGTCAAGTTTTTAATTTTTCTTCTCCATACAGATGGTACCATTCAAGATATTCCTTATTTTGTCCATTTGCTTATAACTCAAAACCAACAACATTGGGATTTCCAAAATGAAATCAAATTTGGTCCTTTATAGATTTCCCAAAGATTGGGCAATATCAATGGTAAATTTAAATGTACTTTGAATTCTCAAAAACGCATAGGCAGAAAAAAAAACTTGATGAATCAGATAAATTAAAATTAAAATTAAAATTTCTCTTTTTAGGATTTTTTATATACCCAAAAAGAATGATCAATTTTAGAAGATTTTTATCATATTCAGAATTGCCAAAAAATTAATTAAAAAGGCTGGGGAAAACCGGGTGTAGAAGCAGAAAACCAGGTGTGGATAGCAGAAAATGGGGGTACGTTTATTGAGGGCCTTAATAAAAAAACGCGGTTTTTCCGCGTTTTGACGCGGTTTTGATGCGCCGCAGCACACGCGGTTTCCGCTTTTAGACACGGTTTTTTAATTAATTTTTTACGGCTTATTTTTCGAGTTTTTTTGAATTTTTAAAATTGTTTCCTAGGTTTCAAAGCGCGTAGAATTTAATGGTAAAAACCATTTTCCATAAAAATGAATTTTGATTATTAATTTTTTTTTCCACTTATTTTTCAATTAATTGTTTGCATGCATGTATGTACCTTATTTTTTATGCTTTTGTGAAATTTTAAAATTATTTCCTAGGTTTCAATGTGTGTAGAATTTAATGGTGCAATCCAATTTTTTTAAAACTCAACGGTTCATTTTTAATACTGAAATTAGACCCATTTTTTCACTTAATTTTTTACTGCAGCTTAATTCTCATCATTTTTTGACATTTTAAATTTATTTCCCACACTTTAAGACATTTAGGAAATGATGGTAACAACCATTTTTCCCCAAAATGAAAACTATACCTTGAATGCCGCATTTGACACGTTTTTTTTAATTAATTCATCACTTTTTCACTTAATTGTTTGCATACATGTGTGTACCTTATTTTCTATGCTTTTTTGAAATTTTAAATTTGTTTCCTACATTTAAAAGTGTATAGAATTTAATGGTAATATTCAATTTCCATAAAGCTCAATGGTTCATTTTTAATACTGAAACTAGACACTTTTTTCAATTAATTCTTTACATGTTATTTCTCACTATTTTTTGACATTTTAAGTTTATTTCCCACACTTTAATACATGATAAAAATGATGGTAACAACCATTTTACATAAAAATCAGCGCTTGTTACTGAATACTGCAGTGGACAGGCTTTTTTTAATGTTTTTTTGATTGATTATTACCGGCCTGATTTTAAGCATTTTTTTTATTTTAAATTTATTTCCCACATTTACAAATGTTTAGAATTGAATGGTGAAGTCCAATTTCACTCAAAATACAAGCTTCAATCTTAATAGATGAGCGTACCCTGTTTCTTGCATAATTTGTACCATATACAAATTTTATTTGAATCCAAAATGGATACAGCCATCAATTCTGAAACCTTTGAAAGTGTAGGAAATGAGCTTGAAATTCCAAAAAATAAGGATAATTGAGCGTGTAAGAATTAATTCAGGAAACACGTCAAAGGCATTATTCAAGATATAGTTTTCATTTTGATGAAAATTCATTGTTTCCATAATTTTATACATTTTTGAAAGTGTAGGAAACAAATTTAAAATGTCAAAAAATAATGAAAATTAAGCTCTTAAAAATCAATTGAAAAATATGGCTAATTACAGTATCCAGAATGAACCGTTGAGTTTTATGGGAATTGAATGTTACCATTAAATTTTACACACTTTTAAATGTAGTAAACAACTTTAAAATTTCAAAAAAGCATAGAAAATAAGGTACACACATGTATGCAAACAATTAAGTGAAAAAGTGATGAATTAATTAAAAAAAACGTGTCAAATGCGGCATTCAAGGTATAGTTTTCATTTTGGGGAAAAATGGTTGTTACCATCATTTTCTACATGTCTTAAAGTGTGGGAAATAAATTTAAAATGTCAAAAAATGATGAGAATTAAGCTGTAAAAAATTAAGTGAAAAAATGGGTCTAATTTCAGTATTAAAAATGAACCGTTGAGTTTTAAAAAAATTGGACTGCACCATTAAATTCTACACACATTGAAACCTAGGAAATAATTTTAAAATTTCACAAAAGCATAAAAAATAAGGTACATACATGTATGCAAACAATTAATTGAGAAATGAGTGAAAAAAAATAATTAATAATCAAAATTCATTTTTATGAAAAATGGTTTTTACCATTAAATTCTACGCCATTTTATAGTGTAGGAAACAACTTTAAAAATTCAAAAAAACTCGAAAAATAAGCCGTAAAAAATTAATTAAAAAACCGCGTCTAAAAGCGGAAACCGCCTGCCCTGCGGCGCATCAAAACCGCGTCAAAACGCGGTTTTATTAATTAATTATTTACGCCTTATTTTTCGAGTTTTTTCGAAATTTTAAAATTTATTCCTACACTATGAAAGGTGTAGAATTTAATGGTAAAGTCCATTTTCCATAAAAATGACTTTGATTTTTTTTTTTTTCTGCTCACTCATTTTTTCAATTAATTGTTAGCGGCTTGTTTTTCATTATTTTTTGACATTGTAAAGCTGTTTCCTACACTTTAAAAGGTTTAGAATTCAATGGTAAAATTTATTTTTCATAAAAATGAATTTTATGCATTGTAATTTCCGTTCCCACTCATTTTTTCAATTAATTCTTAGCGGCTTGTTTTTCATTATTTTTTGACATTGTAAATTTGTTTCCTACACTTTAAAAGGTGTAGAATTTTATGGTAAACTTAATATTTCATAAAAATGATTCCTTTGTGTTTTAATTCTTGCTCCCACTCATTTTATTGATGCAAGCACAGTGGGAAGTTCCTGGTGGTTATTCACCCTTCCGAACTTGAATTTATCAATGGGAAAAGGTAAAAAATGCTATAATATTCTAGTGAGGCCAAATTTGGATTTACAAAAGAGTGTGGGCATAAACGAGCGTAGTTTGGATTTTAAATTGAGAAGAGGGACAATAGCAGGTAATCAGAGGAAGGTACAGAGAACAGTAATGAAAAATATTATTCAACATCAATAGGAGCCTTTTTGAAGCGCAAAGATCTTCTGACAGGTGGGTACATGACTTCTTGACCCAATTCAACATTGGCTTGAATCCAATCCTCCCAACCCAGCGCTTCATCACTGACATAGTGTTTCCAAAATGTATCGATCCTGGGGCATGGCCATACTTCAGCCTTGAAAGTGAAACTGATGAAATGAGAATAGTCAGGTAAAAGGATCAGACAGATGGGAGGGTTGTTGTTTGGAGTATGCGAAAGAGGAAGATAAGTTGCAGGCATCTATTCCGATAATAAAATAACCGGTCTTTGGTACATATCAGCTATTAAATATCCTGAAGAATTTGGTTGAGAAACGCCTGAGTTATTCAGAGTTGAAGTTTGAGGCCTAACAATGCATTTTTAAAAAAAAAAAAAGATGTATCAGCAAAATTGAAGATTGTGGCGGTAAAGAGCGTAAAAGTTGGGTGATTTTGGTATTTTTTTTGTGAATTTTGATTGAGAAATGGCCAAGTTGTGATTTTTTGAAGTTTAGAATGTACCTGCAAGTTGGGAGTGAACCGGTGGTGAATCGAAAAAATCCGAGTCCGTGGCGTCGAAGAGGATAAAAATTGGATGATTCTGGTATTTTTTTTGTCGATTTTGGTTGAGTTTTGACCGAGTTGTGGTGTGTTGAAGGTTTAGAGGGGGGGTGATGTCCTTTTTTGATTGTGGTGAGTGGTTTTGCCTGCAGGAAAATTTTCAAAGTTCATGCAGGCACTTGTGGTACGCGCGCGCGCCCCCTGGAGGCGAATTTATGCATAAAATATGCATAATTAATAAAACCGCGTTTAAACGCGGAAACCGCGTGCGCTGCGGCGCATCAAAACCGCGTCAAAACGCGGAAAAACCGCGTTTTTTTATTAAGGCCCTAATTTTTTTTTTTTTTTTTTTATTTTTAAATTTTTTTTCCTACACTAAAAAACGTGTAGAATTTAATGGTTTAGAGCAACTCCACCGGGGCCGCTAAAAATTGGTCTTCAGCACTCCGCAGCAGGTTTTACAGACTCAAACTGCTGCGGCATACACTGCAAGCCGGCAAACGAGTCTGTAAAAATTTATGAAAGGCAGTTACCCGTCAATAGCCCCTGAATCCCCCCCTGATCTCCCGACAACATCGAGCCTATCTCTTTGGCTGGCTGCACCATCGAGATAAATCATGGATCGTCTGGCAATCATTCGGAATTTCGTCAACACACAAAATTCAATAATTTCCAACTCAATTCAGTCAGCGCAGCAGATATCGGTCGTTCTTCAAGGTGGAGCTGCAGCTGCTCAAGAAATCCTCCGACAAGAAAGGAAAAGACGAGAAGCGAAACCACCAAAACGGGGCGGATCAAGAAAAGGAAGAGCACCAAATCTCCGCCGAGACTTCGAGGGAGGCTACCAGCGATTATACAAGGATTACTTTGATGAATCGGCTATCTACACTGACTATCAATTTTGCCGGCGGTTCAGGATGCAAAGAGGCCTTTTCTTGAAGATAGTTAATGATGTCGAGCAGCATGATACCTACTTTACTCACAGGGCCGATGCGTTGGGTAATCTAGGTTTAAGAGGAATTCAAAAGATCACGGCATCCCTCCGAATCTTGGCGTATGGCGGGTCTCATGATTCAACCAACGAGTACATCCGCATTGGAGAATCCACCGCTTCTGAAAGCCTCTATCAATTTTGCCGGTCTGTCATTGATTTGTACGGCACGGAGTATCTTCGATCACCAAACACAAACGATATCAAAAGACTGTTGGCTATTGGGAAGGCACGCGGCTTTCCTGGGATGCTTGGTTCGATTGATTGCATGCACTGGGAATGGAAAAACTGTCCCACTGCATGGCATGGACAGTATCAAGGAAAAGAAAAGGTCGGTTTATCTCTCTTCCTTGCCGCATTGTAGCCCATTTACTAATATATTATGCTGAAGGTCCCAACGATTGTCTTAGAGGCTGTTGCATCATATGATTTATGGATTTGGCATGCCAGGGTCCCACAACGACATCAACATCTTGGATTCATCACCAGTTTTCACCGATTTAATGAATGGGGTCACCCCTCCATGCGAATACGAAGTCAATGGGACAACTTATCACCAGGGATACTACCTTGCCAATGGAATCTACCCGGACTATTCAACACTCATCAAGACCATTTCACATCCACAAGGGCTAGAAAGAAAGGTATGTAGACTGTTCTACAAATCATAACCAGAGAAGCATTGAACTGACTGATTGCTCCAGCACTTTGCCAAAATGCAGGAAGCCGCGCGAAAGGATGTAGAGAGAGCGTTTGGAGTACTTCAGGCACGATTTGCTATTGTTGCTCGACCGGCACTGACGTGGAGTGTTGGCAAGCTTCATTTAGTCATGAAGACCTGCATTATCCTCCACAATATGATTGTGGAGGATGAGAGAAATTTGAACATTGATCACATTTACAACTCAAACACATCTACTGGTCTTGACTCATCCTTTGATCTGATCAATCCCATTTCACAACGCTGCCCTGATTTCTCTACTTTCATTCAAAATGCACACAGAATTAGAAATCCTGACTTGCATTTTTCTCTCTGAAACGATCTGATTGCCCACTTGTGGGCACGCAAAGGAAAAGAGATAGATTTCGAAGACACAGAAGAGTAATCATAATTGTTTATCGTTCTTGTTTCGAATTTGTCCAATCAATGATAAAAAAACTTATTTGTGATTCATTTGTGATAACTTGTCCGATTGATTGATCATAAAAAAATACAACTTATTTGTGAGGAAAGTCTCGTTTGATGAGTCCAACTCAGATTCAAAAACTGAGTCGGACTCACAGACACACAGTTGATTTGAATCTTGTTGTGACCGAGAGACAACTGAGTCCGACTCTCACCCAGAATGCTAGAAATAAAGCTGTGTGGAAATAACCGAGTCGCTCGGACTTGGAGATGTTTTTGAATGGATCTCTGGTTAATTAGTGCGTGTTTTTCATTATTTTGTGTGAGAGAACAGATACCGACCGGTATGAAACAATCATTTCAAGCCTTTGAGAGTTGTGTATAGTATGTTTGTGGAAAGAAAAACGGTTTCAGAGACAAATGAGTCGGACACATGCGATAAAACATTTGATGAGATAAAAATTCGATGAAATAAAAACAATAGACGATTCATTCTGCAAGGTCAATTGTTGCAGGGACGGATGCTGAAGATAAAGCCGGAGCTGGAGCCTGAGCCGGAGTTGGAGTTGGAGTCGGACCCGCCAATTCTTGCTCAAGCCGAGCTAATATTCATTTTCGTTGGAGGGTATAGTACCTCTTGACGTCGTCGTCAGCGCCGGTGAGGTCCTTATTCATGATTGCCTCGTCTGCAAGTCGTTCAAGAGCAGAGTGCTGAGCAGACATCGCACTGGCTAGTGAGGTATGTTGCTTTTTGGCAACCTCGGCTATGTCAACATGAGCAACAGCCATCTTCTTGAGGTGTTCGTGATTGGATTTGTCAAGTCGTTCCACCTGATAGGCCACCTTTGCCTTTTTTCGGCCGTTTGGACGAGCCAATTCCCCACCACGCGCAGTCTCGTCACCGGAGGCATCCGAAGTTGAGTTAACGGTCTCAGCAGGCGTAGAGCTAGGCAAAGACGCTGGCAAGGGGCTCAAGGGCTGAGCGGTGGCTGAATTTTTCTGTTCAGCTTTTTTGGTGATGGAGGCATTGTAATCGTGCCACTTAGGGGCTTTGGAAAGGAGATCGTAGCAGGACATGTACTTGAATGGCCTCTCGTGAAGCTTGCTGTACAACGTGTGGGCCATGCTGATCCGATTGGCCACTGTTGTACCGCTCGGATTCCAATGGTTGATTTGGTTCACACACCCGTGAAATTTGTTTAACGCCGCTTGTATGAGGCCCCAATGGCCTTTGATGCTCTTCAACGGTCGTGGAGGTTGAGGAATCTTGCTTCGATAGTGGTTCGCAACTGTTTCCCAGAAGGCCGCACCAGTTTGATTTGTCCCTTTCCGGCCGTCTTCGGTTATTTCAAGCCATGAGGTACAGAGCTGGAGATCCTCATGCTCCAGATAGTTGGGAGCACGCGCTTGTTTGTCCGATTCGTCACTGTCTTCCGAATCACTTCCTTCTCCACCTTCACCTTGTCTTTCTTCATCAGGTGCCACCGGTTGTCCCTCCTCGTTTCCGGTTTCTTTTGGAGTTTGGTTCTTTTTCTTCGCAGTTTTTTTGGGGGGTTTTGGTTTTGCAGCCGGTGTTTTAGCAGTCTTGGGTTTTGGAACACTGATAGAATACAGGTCTGAAACAAGGAAAAAATCAGTCAAAAGCGTTAAGAAAGTGAAGTCTTGTGTGTACTGACTATCTCTTGAAGATATATTCCTTTTTCGAGACGATTTCTGTGGAGCCAAAGGACCTTCCGATTCCATTGTATCTGATGAAGCAGCCGGGAAGCAATCAAAAAAAGTATGGTCTGACAGTAATGATGAGAATTAAACTAACCTGTATTTGGAAAGGGTGCTTGGAGTGCAGGGTCAAGAACGATATTGTTTGGTGTTGTCATGGCCGGATGTTGATATGAGGATATGTGATGTATCGGGGGGGGGGACTTGATTGGATGAAGTGGACTTTCACAGTGTCTTCAGCATGTGAAAGGGGATTTATGGTGAGGATGGAGAGTCGCTAGGAGTCCCTACATGTAGGGACTTCGGAACAAAATCTAGCGACGGCCGTGGATTTGAGGGACAAATAGAGGCCGCGGTGGCTCACATTGGGTCGGTAAATTCCAACTAGGGACCCGATTTAGCGCCCGCGGTGGAGTTGCTCTAAACAACGGTGGGCCGCTACGCTAAATGGCCATTTAGCGTTAGCGTAGCTGCTGTTGCAGCAACCTTTTTTTGTGTAGTGTTAGTTTGCGCTACAGCCCACTACGCTACGCTAACTTTTAGCGGCGCTAACAACACACCTTTTTTTGGGTAGTGTTAGCGCACCGCTACAGCCACTACGCTGCGTTACGCTACGCTACAGGGCTGTTAGCGGCAAAAAAGGCCAAAAAACCGCTAAAAAGCGCTGTAGCTTGGTGTAGCGGACGCTTTTTTGCGCCCCATGGGCATAGTGTTAGTGTGGATGAGTGAAATAAAGCTAACACTACGCTGACAGCTAACACCCACTGGCGCCCTGTGTGCGTAGTGTTAGTGCAAATTTTCAGATTTGCGCTAACACTACGCTACATGTTAGCTTATTTTAGCTACACTACGCTACACTAACGCTACGGTTAGTGTAGCTGGCCCACCGTTGCTCTAAAGTCCATTTTGCTTAAAAATGACTTTTGATTCTTAATTTTTTTTTTCCACTCATTTTTTCCGTTAATTGTTTGCTTTAAGTTTTTTGCCTCATTTTTCAAGATTTTGTGTAACTTTAAAGTTGTTTCCTACATTATTTAGTGTGCAGAAATTTATGGTGAAATCCAATTTTCATAAAAATGAATGAATCATTTTTAACAATGCAATTTTACCCATTTCTTCGCTTAAATCTTTACAGCTTAATTTTCATTCTTTTTTCACTTTTTAAATTTATTTCCCACACTTTAAGACATGGTTAAAATGATGGTAAAAATCTTTTGGCATAAAAACCAAAGATTTGTAATGAATACTGCGTGGGACAGGTTTTTTCACGTTTTTTTGTTACCGGCTCAATTTTAATCATTTTTTGAAATTTTAAATCTATTTCCTACATCTAAAAGTGTTTAGGATTTAATGGTAGAATTCATTTTGCCTCAAAAGAAAATCTTCAATCTCAATATAAGAGTGTACACCATTTCTTGCATAATTTGTACTGTATACAAATTTTATTTGAATGCAAAATGGATACAGCCAAAAATTTGAAAACCTTTCAAAGTGTAGGAAATGAACTTAAAATTCCATAAAATAAGGATAATTAAGCGTGTAAAAATTAATTAAAGAAACATGTCAAAGGCTTTACTCAAGGTACATTTTTTCATTTTGATGCAAATTGATTTATACCATAATTCTATACATGCCTGAAAGTGTAGGAAACAGATTTAAAATGTCAAAAAATCATGAAAATTAAGCTCTTAAAAATCAATTGAATTTTAAGGCTGATTACAGTATTTGGAATGAACCGTTGAGTTTTACGGAAATTGAATGTTACCAGTAAATTCTAAACACTTTGAAATGTAGGAAACAACTTTCAAATTACAAAAAAGCAGAAAAAATTAGGTAAAAAAATTAATGCAAACAATTGAGTGAAAAAGTGAAGAATTAAATAAAAAAATGGTGTCAAATGCAGTATACAAGATGTAGTTCTCACTTTGATTCAAAATAACTTTTAACATAAATTTATAAATGTCTGAAAGTGTAGGAAAAAAGTTTAAAATGTGAAAAAAGAATGAAAATTGAGCTCTAAAAATTTAAGTGAAGAAATGGGTAAAATTGCATTGTTAAAAATGATCCATTCATTTTTATGAAAATTGGATTTCACCATAAATTTCTACACACTAAATAATGTAGGAAACAACTTTAAAGTTACACAAAATATTGAAAAATGAGGTAAAAAACTTAAAGCAAACAATTAACGGAAAAAATGAGTGGAAAAAAAAATTAAGAATCAAAAGTCATTTTTAAGCAAAATGGACTTTACCATTAAATTCTACACGTTTTTTAGTGTAGGAAACAATTTCAAAAAATCAAAAAAAAAAAAAAAAATTAATTAAAAAAGCGCGTTTAAACACAGATTGCGCGTGTGCTGTGCCGCAGCAAAAGCGCGTCAAAATGCGGAAAATGCAGGTTTTTTTATTAAGGCCCAAAAAAAAACAATGGCATGGCCGTCCCAGGCATGGGTCCTATGGGACAAGCCCAGGTCCTAAACGCATATAAATATGCATTTAGGACCTAAAGTTGGGTGTGCAGGCAGGCACGCTAACCTGCAGGCGAGTGGCGTGCCTGCCTGCACACCATTCTGCAATGGCGTGCAGGCGCGCACGCCAATCTGCAGCTGGCGTGCGCCATGGGGGTTGGTGTGCGCTTATCAACCCCCTTGTCTGCTATCATTTTAAAAATATTATCTGTCGATATCTGTTCTGCTTGGAGAAATTCCAATTGATTAGAGCTCATTTGAGGGGTGAGGGGAGTGGAAATGAAGTTTTTTGGATGAGAACACAACTCGCGCATCCTCTTTCAGATCACGGGGCGACTGCTTGAAGGCAGTTAGCGGCTGCTTGAAGGCGGTTAGCGGCTGCTGGCACAGCACAAGATGCTGCCCCCCGCCCATTGGTCTAAGGAAGAGTTGTATATCTATATGGTCTCAGAGGATGCAAGACAGTCAAGAGGGTGGGGGCAAGAGCAAGAGAGGACAGAAGTGAGGGGGGGCGGATCACGAGGAATTGTTGTTGAGCCATCCATCCCAGACCGGTCTGCAGCCCTCCAGCGCCTGAAAAACGAGATGGTCCTTGATCTTGTTGGCCTTGGCAAGCTGGGCAAAGGTGTCAGCCAGGGACAGGTTGGCAATGCCGACGCCGCGTTGGGTGTCCACGACACGTTTCTTGGACAGTCTGACCAGCTCGTTGGCTCTTTTGAGGTGTGTGGGCCGACTGCCGATTGGGGGGTGAGGGCGGCCTTGGATCGTTGATGCAGATAATGATGGATTGAAGTAGGCTGAGAGGGAGCAGTGATAGTGGAGGAAAAGGAGGAGGGATGGGAGGCAAAGGGCGGTACCCGGGTACCGCCCGTGTTTTTGCCCAAAAACAGGCACCCGGCACCGCACCTGGCATCGCCTGGCGGGTGCGGGAGGTACCTGCCAAGCGGTGCTAGGTACCTAGCGGCGGGTACCAACAAACGATCTCTACCACTGCCGCTTCCGCCTCTGGTGCGGCCACGCCCAACCCCGCTTCCGCCTCTCAGTGTCCCCGCTCCATCTTAGCCCCTCCGCAGTATACTCTAACCCCAATCCGCAGTCAGCCGTGAACCCTGAAGCCCGCCAGTGCCCGTATTCCCACATTAAGCTTTCGGAACCTTGTGCATTCAACCCGCGCTTTCCTGCACCTCAGAAAGCTTGAATTTCAACTAGTTTGCCGCCGCTTTCCTCAGCCTGTCGCATAGCGTCAGCGCCGCGTGCTTTCCTTGTCAGACGCATGCATTCCGCACCGGCCCAAACAACATGGCCAAAGCTTTGGTCACTGCGCGCTCTCGCCACCACACCGGGTACCTGATGACATCTCTAAGAGGAATGGCCTCTAGCTCCATATCCTCGGTGTTGTTGTTTATGAATTGGTAAATTACTATACCCATGATTTCAAAGCCGTTTGGAGACTGCCAGGTATCAACTCCAAGATATAATTCACCTTGGTGTGCCTGATAAAAAAAGCAAAGTGAGCCAGATAGTATTAGTCATTAAATCCATGCAAAACTGACACTCAATTTCAACTCATTGCGGTAATTTCTTTGTATGCCTGTATATAGGAAATGGATGTCCTTCAAAATGTCCTTGTACTTGGGTAAGTGCTTGACAACGGTTGGATGTAGGATTGCTTTCAAGCTAGGATCAAAAAGTGCTGGAAACGGCCTTGCAGCTTTGCCACACTGCATATTGCATAGTTGGGGGACCTAGAATACAAATAAAAAAAGTAAAAAGTTGGGAGATACCTCTTTGGGATTGATTTCCCCAGTCCCACTGAATCCATATTGAGCCAACAACACCTTGCTCTTTAATTCTTGACTTTTGCGGAGGCATATTGAGGCATGTTTATTGAGGTTACTACAAGATGAGTAAGAGGTTGGGTGGTTTATCTTTGTGCCTGATGAAAAACAGGTAATATTACTGAAACAAGAACCAGAACTGTTTTTGAAAATGAAAAACAAGAGATTAGACACATCAGAAAAACAACAATAGCATGAGAACCAATGATATATAAGAAATAGAAAAGAAAGCATACCACCAGCGGTGGGCCGCTACGCTACGCTACGCTTTTAGCCCAAAAAGCGTAGCGTAGCGGCGCTTTTTTTTCACCCAAAATCCGTAGTGTTAGCGGTTTTTTAGCGGTTTTTCGCTACGCTACGCTGCGCTACAGCGCTTTTAGCGGAAAAAGCGGCCAAAAACCGCTAAAAAGCGCTGTAGCGCAGCGTAGTGGGCCCTTTTTTGGGGCCCACACGCGTAGCGTTAGCGGTGTCGTGGCGGAATCCCGCTACGCTACGCTAAGCGCTAACAGCAATTTCGCTGCGTTACGCTACACTAACCGCTACGGTTAGTGTAGCGGCCCACCGTTGATACCACGGTGAGATTTATGATTAATAGGAAGCAGAGCAGACAAGCTTAGGTATATAAGATCAAAAAGAGAGAAGTAGTAAGAACTGAAGTTTGAGAAGAGGAAACAAAAAGGGTTAGAGACTTTGATCGATTCCCTTTGATGAGGTTAGTGAGTTTTGATTTTCTCACCAAATTGGCAATAGCCAAGAGAGGATGTTGAGAGAGAGAGTCGGAGAGATTAGGAGTGGTGAAGATTGAACTGAATAGAAATTGAGATGTCGTCGAGATTGATAGGACTGTTCAATGAGAGAGAAAAGGGATAGGAGATAGAGGAAGGAAGAGGTGATGATGCGGATACGGAAGGGAAAGTGGAAGTTCGGAATGTTGGGTGAGTTGTTGGATGTTGAGGTGAAGAGCCGAGCAGTTGAGGCTGAGAGGAGCAAGTGAGATTGAAGTGGTCGAAGGTGGTTTTTGGTCAACAGACTGCTGAGGGAGAGGATTTGGATCAGACGGAGGCCGCTTTTTATAGAGAATGTCTTGATTGGCTGAGTTGTGGTTTTGATTTATGCGCCGGAGTCGTGATGTCGGAGGATAAGGAAATTGGAAGAAGGAGGAAAGAAGATAACGAAAGGGGAATGAAACAGGAGAAGAAGGAGAAGATTTAGGAGGAAGCGAGAGGAAAAGAAAGTACAGAAACAAGTTGATTGAGACCGGAGGAGCAGAGCGGATAACAGGTCCGAAATTCCAACAGTGCCACATCTGAAAATTGGTTTCAGTTAAACGTTCATGATACAGTATAAGTTGGGTTCTGATGTGGATAAAAAAGACTGGCTTACAACTTGCACAGATAAGCTATCATGTGCCGGCCAAACTTGTCATTTTGATTGGAAAGTAAGTATAGGCACTTCATAAGAAGTATAGCTTGAACTGACAGAGTTTGCAGCAATTTTTATAGCTCTTCCTACACGAGAATCAATAATCATAACAGTGTTGAAAAGAAAAAAATGAATAATGATTGTTACTCATGTAACTCCTCCTTGTTGTGTGAAGGCTGGCTAGGTTGATGAGCAGATATATTGTCTTGGTCAAGGTCAGGTTGGGAGGTTTCTTCTGTTGGATTCCCTTGGTCTTCTGGATTCTTTTGGGTAGAACGATTGGATTGATTTTTGGTTTGCTTACAGTTGCGCGCGGCATTGTACTGTACAGGATTTTGGGATGTCCGAATGGTTGGGACCCAAAATTTGGAAAAATTTGATTTTTTTTTTTGTTAAGTTCTGGGGTGTTGAGACGTCAATCTGACATCCACGCTGCTGTAATTGAGCCAGCTGATGCACTTTTGAGCATATACATTGGCTTTAAGCTTATTTGTATGGGCTTAGGCTGACATATAGCCATACAAGTATGGGTTTATGGTGTCAGCCTATTGCATATTTATGTACCTAGGCCCCCATATTTGGCCTGTGACCGAATGGTCCGGTGAAAAAAAGAATTTTTTTTTGTTTGGCTGGACCAAATTGGTTGCCGATTTAGATTTGGAATCTACACACCTTGTAGACTCCAAAAATGTGTTCTTTACAGGTGCTGGACCCCTGTCGGGGGTGAGGATCAACCCCGCGCGACCTAATCAACATTTGCGGGTGGCCTTGTACAGTAGAATGCCGCGCGCCACTGTACAGGTGAGACTCTTGGGAGCCATGGTCACTGGTTTTCAGCTGTTGTGATCAATTGAGTGCTGTGGGAGCTTAAGGGGACCAGGACAGTATTCATCAGGGACACATGTCACAGTCTACCTACCCGCAGGCCCTGAATATTGCTGGGGGGTGAGCAGTACCCGGGTACCACACCGCTTTCTGGCCAAATTCAAGTACCTAGTATCACACCCAGCACCACTGTGCGGGTGCTAGACGGGTGTGAGGGGTACCCACCAAGTGGTACCAGGTACCTGCCCAAGGTACCAAATGACTATCTTTATCCTGTTTTCATGACCATGATTCATTGAATCTCATTTTCACATCACTTTAGTCTATATTAATCCCCACAAATGCAACTGGGTGGATTGAAGTTCAACTTGGAATACAAAACAATGTGTCAAAAATAATGGATGACCCACTGTCTAATTTCGATTTGTTTACTTGTTTGTGGCACAAACAAAGTATATACAGCTATTTTGGGAAGTCTTGTCCACTTGGACTCACAAATTCTTTTTTATTTTTTAATTTTTTACTGAACTGGACCTGTCAGAACTGAACTACTGATGACAGCTGTACCTCCTTGGCTGTGGTTCAGTACGAAGAAAAAATTAAAAAAATTAAAAAAAAAAAAAAAAAAAAATTGAGACAACTGGACGGGGGTTGATAAGCGCAAGCCAACCCGCACGCCAGGAGGAGATTGGCGTGCGCGCCTGCACGCCAGCCTGTCAATGGTGTGCAGGGCCGCACGCCAGCCTGTCAATGGCGTGCAGGGCCGCACGCCAATGACCTGCAGGGATATACCCTGCAGGTTGGCGTGCAGGCCTGCACGCCAAAGGTGTTTGGCGTGCGAGGCCGCACACCAAAGCTGCAGGGGCCTAAACGCATATACATATGCGTTTAGGCCCCAGGCCAACCCATACAACCCAGGGTTGGGTCGTATGGGTCGGCCTTGTACCTTGAGGGCAATGCGACTTCACGAGCCCGTTGGCCCGAGACCCTCGGCTTCCGTCCCCGACCTTGGGTCGCTTCTCTCCATAGCCTCTCCCCCGACGGCGGGAGAATCCCACTGATGGACATCGTCATCTCGAAAGTTTTCCCCCCAATGTTCGTTGATCAGGAAGGACGTATGGGCCGCTGGGGAGTCGCCGAAGAGAATATGCTACAGGTCGCTTGGGAGGTAAGTGACCACAACTCCTGACTTCTTCATTTGCTCTCCCTGCATCAACCCACTCATCTCCCCCAAAATCCGCTTCTCTCTCGCTTTGTGTGTAGAAAGAAAGGGAGAAAGAGGCGGCCAAGATCGCCGGCGAACAGGAACAAGAGTTCGAGAAGATCCAGCAAGTCGCGGATTTAGTCGCCAGTATCTATGCCGCCAAAAGTGATGGAAAGCGGCGTGTCTCGGGTGATAAGAGGAATGGGGAAGAAGCAGACTCTGAAGAGGTCGCAGCATTCGATGGTTTGTCTCTTTCCCCATGACTCCCAACAAAATGGATAATTCAAGCAAAGGGCTCTGGATGAAATGCTTATACCTGGATTGATTCCCCGGACACATTGGATGTCAAAATTGATTGTCGTTAGCCGAGGAGTTGTGCGATGATTTAATTGAGGATGATGCGTCTATGGAAGTGGTGAAGCAACTATCGGTCACCAAACTTGTCCAACTTCGACAATCAGTCCAAAGACGTTGTGATACTTTCCGGAGCAAAGCAGTCGACGAGCTTCAGAAAACTCTCAACGTAAGTCTCTCCAATCTATCTAAAGGGGTAGATTCAGTCAATTTTGACATTTTTTTGGTGGGATGGTGAGTCAAGGGTCCCACTGAGAAGGACGCGACAAGTCCAGCAACTCACCTTCCGAGACTTCCAGACTTTCAAGACTTCTTCTCGAACCCCTTCCGGATCCCCCTCGCGTCTGGTCGGCCAACTATCTGTCCAAGACTTATCCTTGCTTCCCGATCGGTTCTTCAAAGAAGGCGCCCGATATTGGGTCCGTTTGCTTTCTCTCTCCTTCTTTTTTGTTTCTATCGAATGTTACACTTGGGTGACGAGCAGCTTTTGATGGACTGACTGGTCTCTTTGGTTGTGTTTTTGGAGCTGTAACAGGTTCACAACATTCAGCTTCAACGCAACGCTCGTTGGGATCTCTCTGCTTCTTCTTCCTCTAAAAACTTCAAGAATGAGCTCGTTGAGGTCCCCCTATCCACTCGTCGTGACACAAGTTGGAGGAACATTAGCTTAGACGCTTGACAACAATCAGAAAATAAATATATAAATAATCATTAGCCCCCTGCCCCCTCTCAAGACTAATATAAAACAACCATCCCAAGTGTTTTTTTCCGTACTCTGATCATCTGCTCATATCTTCTCTGATCTTCTTTGTCTTACCCTCCATCAACATCAACTTTCTTCTTCTCCTTTAAGTATGTTAGTTATATCGTTGTGTTATTTTAGATATAAAATGTTTTGGTTGCTAATTTTATGTATACTTACAAACAAACAAACAAAAGAATGGTTATCAAATTCAGACATATTCATACTGAGATGGAAGCAAATTGTGTATGCAGACTTGTTATCTGTTAATCTTAAGCAAGCATTTTTTTATATTTAACACGAAATCTTTCAAGACTAGCATTTTTGAAGGTTGTCAAGACCACGAAGATGCAGTGATTGCATCAGAATGTATCATCTCTATCGCAAAAACCTGAGTTAACATTTTGGGAGGTTGAGAAGATCAGGTGACGAAAATGACTTGAGAATTAAGAGATTGTTTGGATTGTCAGTAAAGGAAACCGTGGCCTGTGACGTAAATATGTCTCTCCCGACCCACGGAATGTCCACACCCAGGATTCAACACTTCAGTTGAGATGTTCCACCATCCTAGATAGATAGGGCATGTAGACGACCGGAGGGTTGCAACTTTCTCCGGCCGAACTACGGCCGAAAATCAATCTGTCCCAGCGTCGCAGAACTGGACAGACTCGATAAAAAGTGCAACCACATCTTGGAATGTTCTCAGAGGGATATATGTATGCTACGTAAATTGTTAAATCACTTTCATTGCCTTCATCAGTCCGTACACATAGGCGTAAACCCAGATAAATAAAGTCATACTTACTTCTGTGTGGCTGTTTCTGGCTGGTCTTTTGTTCAACAAACTTGTCAACAAAATCTATTGAAGGTCCGACTACGTAAATAAACCAACCATATCAATATTTCTTGATTCGCTTTTCCGAACCGCGCTCCCATGGTTTACAACAACACATATCTGGTATCTTTCTTGTGGGGGGGGTTCTTTTTTTCTTCTACAGCACCCACCCAAGGGCCACAACTTGTACTCTTAGGAGCCTTGGCTGCCCTTGTACTTTTGGCAGCAGTGCCAGTAGGGGTGACATGGGGTAGTGGCACAGCTTATTATAGTGTTGAACCCGGCAATCAAAAAAGCGACGCGGAGGGTACCCAACCGCATATGTATATGCGTTTAGGCCCCTGCAGCTTTGGCGTGCGGCCTTGCACGCAAACACCTTTGGCGTGCAGGCCTGCACGCCAAACTGCAGGGTATATCCCTGCAGGTCATTGGCGTGCGGCCCCACACGCCATTGACGGGCTGGCGTGCAGGCGCGCACGCCAATCTGCAGCTGGCGTGCGGATTGGCGTGCGCGAGGGGGGTTGGCTTGCGGTTATCAACCCCCCAACTGGACAACCCTTCCCAAAATAGCTGTAAGTAAAAAATACAACAAATTCCCAGAGGATAATCACTTTCAAAATAGCAGTAGTAGGGGAACAAAAATTGTTGTTCAGTTGTCACAGATAAGGATAGCAGGAAAAGTGTCCATTGTAAGAGGTGACTCTCTTCACTAATCTTACGTCAACGGGCAGATGGTGCAAGGCTAGAAGCTGATTGTTTCTAGAACCAAAGGAAGTCTTTTTTATTTCAAACTAGACGGTCGAGAGAAGAACTCTCCTTAGTACAATCTTTTGAGGGGCAAGAAGGGAGGAAACAAGATGAAGAGAAATCCAAAGCCAGAAGTACTCACCTAGACGGTTGAGAGAAGAACTCTGCCGTCTAAGTGAGAGGGACAAGACTAGGCTATGTACAATTAGTAGCTTATGTAATCTGGTCCTCTAGGCCTTGTGAAACCCTTGAGACAAGGGGGGGGGGTTCACATCCATATGGACAATGAAGAAGAAGAAGCACTGCAGTGGGCCAATATTGTTCCAATGCCAACAGTTGGTGATTTGTTTACACCATGCCTATCAATCAATTCCTCTCAAAGTTATGCAGTTGAGACAAAACTTGGCATTTGAGAAGTCTTGTCATTGATCAGGAATCACAAAACAGTCATCTGGAATTCAATCATTTTAAAATCACAAGTTTTGAGACAAGATGCTTCTATCGGCTGTAGTCACTAATTCTCCCATCTCAGCTCCCATCATACCTCTGAGCAGGTAGAAAACATGTTCAACATTGGGTGTGTCAAGCTGAACAACAAAGCACATGGATAAAGTGGGAATGATGTACAAAACCAAGCAAAGAATAGATAAGCTGATACCAGTACAGTAGAGGAGGGTGATAAAAACATGATTCCTTATCAGAAGTCGAGATTTTTGCCTTCAACAGGTTGGTTCTATAAAAACAAACTTCCACAGAGAAAGGGAAAAAACAAAGCAAAGGTCCAGGAGAGCTGTGCTTAGCTCTTTGGTGGGGACAGCCATGTGTGTTCGGGTTTAGTTTCTGAAATTGAGGTCCGAAGTTCAACGACGTGGAATTACAGTCCAGGAGGCTCGCGCATCTGGCGTAAAAATGCATCGAATGCGATTCGTTGGGAGCTGTGTAAGCGCTCGACGGCAATCTCGAAGTGATTGTTCCACATATTAGACCAGTCCCGAAACTGGTTGCGATGGGAGAGGGGAGTAGAAGAAGCTTCTTGCAGCTTGAAATACTTGTTCAAAATCTTGATGATTTCGGTGACTGTGCCAGCCACTGGACCGGCTGGTTCTGGATGAAAGTGGTCGTCCTGCCCATCGAAGTAGTCAGCATCGTCGATGTCGCGGATAAGTGAATTGAGACCTCTGGATAATGGGGCCGTAGCTTTGAGGATGGATACATGGACGGTCGAGGGCATTTGAGAAAGTTCAATATTGTCCACTCTCGACAATTTGCGCATGAAGATCCTTAATAACTTAATCACAATGATACCGTCAGAGTAAGATTCTTGAAAGATCGGTTCAGGATCCTCTGTTTCTGCTTGGCGTGACTCGGTCATGCCCTTCAGGGCTTTGTCAAAGTCGTTGACCGTCGACGCCCAAGCATGTTGAAGGACTCTAAAATCGGGAATCTCCAACCAATCGATGAGTTTCTTCAAACCGTCTCTCGCTCGATTGGTAGATTGCATCGATCTTAGTCTGAATGAATCGAGCATGGTCCCATCGACTTGTCTGAGCATTCCACAGAGGGGGAACAACTTGGTATAGGTAGCGAAGAGATGTTCTAGATTCTTCCATAGACCGGCAATTCTTTTCTCGGTAAATCGACTTCGAAAGCGTGTTAGATCCAGGACGATTGTTTTTGTTCCTTCGGAGGTCCAGAGCAAGGACATTAACGCATGGATCCGGTGAATCGTCTGCTCAATATCTAGCAATGCCCTTAATGCGACTTGAAACCGATACTCATACGATTGATCTTCCGTTGGCTTGGAGGCACAAAGCAGGATGTCATTCAATCGAACAATGTCCTCTTGTAAGTTGGGTAAATGTATGGTCCTGAGTTGATCGACATAAGTTGGGACCGTTCTGGGCCTTCTGGACACGTCGAACGCCGCAGCGTATCCTTTGATCTTTGAATACAATGAATGGAGCTTTGCTAGGAGAATGGCTGAGGAGAAGAATGGATCAAGATGAGAATGCGTTTGAAGTGAGTATGGATGTGGAACTAAGGACTGACAGTGATAATTGGCCGAAGCATCAGGTTTCCCAATCGTTAACCTCTTGATGTCCTCCATGGGCGTGGTGTATGTAGTTGATAGGAGCGGAGGTTGACTTGGAAGTAGCGTGACGCCTTTCACACAGCCGCCACAGCGGCGCAGTCTGGACTCGCGGCATCGGACCGCGAGTGAGCGCCGGGCGGAGCATTTCCCGGGTGGCCGGAGAAAGTATGTATAATCACAGGACACTCCAGGTCAAGTATTATAACAATTAATCGGTCCATGGGACGGGGTACAGGGACAGTCACATGCCAAGGACGAGGGTAATGATTCCAGAGTGCTTAATCAAAAGGTTCACAATACCTTGAAAAGGTTGTCACTTCCTACATACATATGAGATTGTAAGCAGAAGTGCCATTTCAAGCACAAGGTCATGTAACATTGCCTCTAGTTTGTTAGCTCCGAAATTCAGACAAGCAATCCAGCAGCACACTCGAGATAAGATATGCAACAGGTATGACTTTTCCGGAAAACTGGCCGACTCTTGGTATTACATTTAACAAACAAGATAACTCATGCTAGGATACGGAGCAAATTTTGGATGCTTGATGAGATCAAGTTCCGACTCCAATTGTGATATAGCTATCAACACCACCACCGACCCCATGCATATTGACTAACTCTAGATTCCCGCCAAAGTAACGACAATACAGTCTTGCCATCGGCAACCTATTCAATCAGGAAGGAATATTCAATATTTGAAGCCAAAGGGTTCAAGCAGTACGTTTGGATCTTTTGATGGAGATAGTCTTACCCGAATCCCAATCCAGCAATTCGACCTAAGCTTGACTTCAACTCCTCTTGACCATACGAGATCCGATCAAAATCAGCCTGATTGTGCATACCGTCTTTGGCGTTGTCTTCCGATCCCACCGTGCTAAACGCGTAAGAAAACACACGAGGAAGATCCTGTGGGTCAATCCCACCGCCATGGTCACGTATCCGGATGCATAGAATCGATTTAGATATTTCAGCATCCGACAAGGATCGATCGGTAGTTTCCTTCGAGTTCACTGTCACTCGAGGAGGTCTTTCAACAGCAACGGCGACTTCAATCGGTGGTAACGGTGGATTAGTTGTTTTGGTTACTTCTCGATGATGCTCGACAGTTGCTCTAAGCGCACTAAGAAGCGTCGAAAAAACGTTAACACGGTACCAGGCTGAATTACAAGTAAAAGCGTACTTTTTGATCACCTCTATTAAGACGTATCTGTTTCGTAGATTTAATTTTTCTTAAGTCTAGAATCCACGCAATATCCGATGAACCAAAATACTAAACTCACTGTAGCTAATGAAAAATACAATCAGCAAGTCAGTAAGTGGATGGTCAATTTAATTGTGTTGAGGAATACAGACATGCATTTCCACGAAGCACACTTCAGCTTCCACTTCACCCGATAACCTCCATTCAGGAGCGATTCCAAAGCTTTTCATCACACGATATTGTGTGAAATTTGTCAAACAAAAAAAATATTGGCTCGTGCTTACAAGATCATTTCTCTTGCTACTTACGTTCCTTCACAGAGCTCTGCAGCGAATTGTAATACGCTTTCCAGTGTTTTTTTGAGGTTCATTTTCTTGTCCACAATGCCTGTTCTGCTAGGACTAGGCGAGTGCTCGGCCTTAGAAAGCGATAAATGCTGCTCGGCAATTAATCTGATCGATATGCGACTTTGAATCGCTCTGTTTAAAAATGAGCTGATCTGCTCTTCCGATAGATATCGCTTAGATTCTTTGAAGCCTGTTGCCCAAATAATAAGCCAACGAGAGATAATTCATTTCCGTCAGGAATTGGTCTCAATTAAGCATACGTCCAGAGAACCAGAAGATTGGCCCATGTCGAACGGACCGGTAGCAAACATTCCGATTACATCAGTCGCATCATCAACCATCGTTACGAGGGCCTGAAGCAACGCGGCATTATCCTCTACAGTCCTGGTGGTAATATGTAAAGGTATTCAGCCTATGTCTCGGTGTTGCAAAACATAAAAAAAGTCGACCAGGAGACCCTCAGCGGAGGCGATTGACAGGTTTCTGAGTAACTGCCAATTTCCATCACCCACCTGATTGGTGGCAATGAATTGATTTCTTCGAATGAGCGACGATAGATAGACATAACCTGTTTAATGTGTGGATTTGATGCTGGAAGATATGGCAAACTAAGATGGGCGTTGACCTAAAAGAATTGATAAAAACAAGAATTGGAAGACTCGATCAGAAATCTAGCGATCGGGCACAAAACGACAACAGATCACTATTCAGGAAATCAAGCAATAAATACGATTAGGCCAGTAGCAATTTACCCTTCGTTGAATCCGCTGGATCAATTCTTGTCTCGTCAACTCGGCTGACTCTATTAATTTCGATGGAGATAGCGGCGGAGTACCAAATCGCATTAGCCGATCGAGTGAAACTTTGAATGAATAAAACAAATCAGGTAGAAAATTAGCTAAAGCTTTACTTCATAATAGGCGTTTTTGATAGGATGTTGATTAGCATATGTAGATGTTCAAGTGGTACTGATTGATCAGGAACCGCCCAATATCAGTGCAACTTGAAATCATTACGAAATTGTGCTGCTGAACAACCGTTCAGAGCTTCAAGGTTGATACTCCTTGTAAATTAAATAGCCGGTCTTTTAAAAGTAAGCATCTGATTGATAATACCTTTCTTGAGGGATTGGCCGGTCAGGGAGTGATCATGGTGGGTGGAACTCGCCATGTGGAGATGCTGAACAGAACTTGTTATAAGGCGATCGAGATTTCTAAGTGAACGTAGCTGAAGGCCATGAGGGAAGGCTGTTGACCGTATTTTTTGGATGTGGAAGTCGAATCTGACCATCGTGACAGATCGTGACAATCGAAACCTGCCTGCTATTTCTTGGGCGGAGTGGATCTGAGTCAGTGAATGACGTCACCTTCAATATCGAATGTATCCGCTGCGATTGTGGGGCCGGGCCGGGCCGCGGGGTCCGTCGGACCGACTATTTAGCTTTATCCGCTCGACAAAAGATTTGAAGTCTTGATCAAGTTCCAGTTGTCTTGTCACACATTCGGTCTCTCTGCGAGAAAAGGTCGATAGCAGATAGCTAAATTCGTCAATATGATGCCAACTATGACCCCTTTTCGATTCCTAGGAACATGAAGCTCAATTGCAGTGTTCAGGTTTGATCCCCAGCTACGTGTTTTTCGCAAATGGCCTGGATAAGGACTGACCTTGCTTGGCAGTGGAGAAGGTGCTCTGCCTGTAAACTTCTCACGTGGCACCACTTACTATCCTCAATGCTAGACGATATGCTGGTTTCCATGGTTCATTTTCTGCAAAAAAAACACAGAAGGGCCATCAAAACGACAAAAACTACCAAATCAGACATGAGCCTTGATCATGTTATGTACACTCAAGATGATTGAGAAAAGCTAGACTGGTCAACCAAAAGAAAGAAACGAGAAAAAAAAAATCAAAAGGAGAACAAGGCGAGAGGAAGAGAGACAGAGAGAGGTAGGGAGAAGGAGTAGATGATTTGTGACAATTACAGGATCTGGGGGCTTACCAAGGAGAGGAATAGAAGCTGAATATGAGGTATGCAAGTTATGCGGTCAAAGAGAGACATGCAGTGAAGAAAAACAATCCAAAAATCAAAGGCAAGAGAACTTGAAAGAAGGAAGAAAGGAAGAAAAAGAGAAAGGTCAGGAAGGATTATGACAACATAATGAAGGCTAACTGAAAAGTTGATGAAAGAGAAAACAGGTTCAGGACGATTGGCTGTCAAGTGGTTTTCAGGTAGATGCATAACTTAAAAAGATCGTCCAAACTATTCCGCAGAGAGCTCCAAAGGGACTGAAAGAGCCAAATAGTGATCAAGTTGAATGTTCGAAATTAGAATATCAATTAGTACGGATCGACGATCAGCAGAAATGTATGAAGTTGGTAGACTCAACACTCTCATTCGCAGTGGCATAAATTTGAAGTTTATTAGCTGGTGATAGTTATTTTAGGGAGAAGCAATGCGTCAATTGAAATGAACTGGTTACTAATGAGGTGTCGGACAAAGTAAATTGTTTTAGGAGCTCACCTGAATAATCGGCCAGACCTGCCAGTTGGCCAGCAGTAGCTTCAAAAACAGCCGATTGAGTCTAGCATAAATCACTTCCCAGTTGTTGCCTTCTGTAAAGCCCATGAAGCAGATAAAGTCTAGGCCAAGCAATTGCAAGAATGATTTATGAAGGATTAGTGATTTAATTGTCGATAGTGAGACTGTTCTATCAAGGCTTCTATGAGAATTAGAAAGAAGACTTACAAATTAACGAAAGTGGTGCCCTGGTGATTGAAATCAAGCCACGTTGGAATGATTCGCAGAGAATGTGGTTCAGTTTGAAGTCCTGTGGTGCCATATTTCCTCCTTCCTCGTTCGAAGATGCATACAAATGAAGATGACTCACATGACTAACTGATCTGTTGGGATGTCATTGGAGATATCGAAAGATTAGTTAGTAAAATCAGATGATTCTCAATACGAAAAGATAGGAATACGGTTGAGATGATGTGAAAAACCGACCAGTAATGACCATTTTCAAGATGGTGATCAAGTCTAGCGAGTTCCCACTTGAATCTGTTTTGGATGTGGATGAGCCTCCTGGGAATGATTTCGAGTCTTCTTCATGATCTGTAGATATGGTTGCGTTGACCTCAAGCAATTCGATCGGACTGGGGGGCTTTTCGTTCAGGATGCTTGAATGAGTTGATCTGGGAGAAGATCGCGCTGGAAACTGTCTTTCTAGAAACTGGGAGACAATTATCGATTGGATTAATGAAAATTAAAATCATGTTGGAGCATTGATTAGATACTGTTAAATCGAGAGTTGAAGAACAAGGCTTTGATTCGTACTTCATTCCATTTTCCACTTATCCTAGACGTTTTCAAAACAAAGTCAATTTTTGTTTTCCACGGGGTCAATGAAATAATACGTAGGGACAGAACAAGCATGAGATTGGATTGATGAAAGAGGTGAATTTCAAAACAAAAATAAAATCAATCTAACCAGTTTCAATAATCATATCACTTACGGTCCCATGTTTATACCGTATAGGAGGTATCTTATCAGTCTTCCATAGTTGAAGTTGACAATGAGGTTCGGATCGGCATTCTTGAGGCAGAAATTGAAGGATACATGTATCAGACTTGGAATTCCAAAGAACCTCAGAATAATCAATGGATTTTGATAAATACCCAGAGACTGATAAACTGAGCAGCTGAGTCGCCCAACACCGAACATATGCCGTTGGCAACGGCCAAGGTGAGAAGAGGACTCCTCCGAAACCAACGATCGTACTGATGGCCGACTGAACGAAGTAATGAGATCATGTTTGAGGAGAAACAACAGACTGGATGAGTGAATGCGGAGTTTTTTTTTGGTTTGGATTCCAAGTGATTCGCCAAGGGGTGAGTTGCTGGAGCGGGTCCGGCGTGGGTGGATTAAGCTTGTTGACGACACGACTGTAAAAGTGGAAAGAAAGGCTGGAACGAAGTGCTGGAACCCTTGATGTGAAGTTGTCTGTACAAAAATAAGAACGTGTCAAATAGGAAATACATACACACCCACATGTCACACTCCATCCTCGTAGATGTCCTTCGGGTGTTAACGTTTGCGCGGGGAGCACCGGAGATGGCGCACAAATGCGGAACACCCTCATCAAAAGAGGCACCGGCTCACTGCCGTTGTGTGTATGGAAATGACTCGATTCTCCCTTCTGCAAGGAACCAGACACTATTGCATCTCAGGTTCCAGTAACTGCAAAGTTCCCCAGAAATCACTTATACAGGTTTGAAGCATCAAATCACAGTGTTGCCGAGAGAATCACAGTGTTACACCGGCTCCATGAAAAATTTGGCCAGGGCTCAGGGGGTTGCATCACTCAAGAGTCAAGACAATTCTCATCATGTGCTGCACGCGGAATATGATTCAATTCTGATCACGCGAGGAATTGCGCATGTGTGAATTTCAATGCTATGGACACTATATACTAAGACAGGAGGTAGCTGTGCTAGTTTGAAGACAACAATGGAGTAGTGGAATGAAAGATGACTCGGTAGCAGCTTCGAAACTAGGCTATACATAGTAATGGACAGTGGTCAGGGCTAATCGTATCTGTGGAAAATGCCTCGAATCAGAAGCTTACCTCAGAGTGAGATTAAAGCAAGCCGCTGAGGCTGTCCAACCCGGGGAGACCAGAGCCCATGGAGCTCAAGCCAGGTAGAGAGCCGAGGCTACTGAGTCCGGGGAGAGAGTCCATCGAGGGAATCGGAAGTGAGTCCATCGATGGGAGGCTGCTGAGGCCGGGGAGCGAGCCCATGGAGCCAATTATAGGAAGACCACCACCGAATTGAGGGTCACGCTTGATAAGAGAAGAAAGAAGTCCACCAACGGGCAAGCCGGAGGAGACGTTCTGAATATCAGGGAGACCGCCGGTGAGACCGTTCAGTCCAGAAGCCGCAGGCGCAACGTCGTCTGTCAGACCGTTGAGCTTGGAGGTCAAACCAGAAGCCGCAGGAGCGAGTTCACCGGTCAAACCAGAGGCAGCGTTCTGGAGGTCGGGAAGACCACCGGTCAAACCAGTGAGGTCGCTGGTGACAGGTGCAACGTTTTGGGTGACGCCGCCGAGGCTCGATGTAACAGGGGCGACATCGCCAGTGAGACCGGAAGCTACCGGGGATACGGTGTGAGAAAGGCCACCAAGCTTCGATGTAAGACCAGATGTGAGGGGTGCGGCAGCGTTTCCGAGTCCGCCCACTAAAGGCACGCCACCGAGACCGTTCGTGAGACCACCCACCAAAGGGAGGCTGGGGAGGCCCAAGATCGGGAGAGAATGAGCATGGCCAGCTAGAGATGTAAAAGTAACAATACGTTAATCAGTTATTGGCGAACTCCTAACTCAAGTACAGTGACATATGCTTACCGAAGAGGACAGCAACGGAGACGAAAATGCAGGTAACACGCATGATGAAGGGTTACGACTGGTTAAATAAAATATGTATAAGGAAATTCGAAATTTGATAAAGCCAAGGATAATAATTTACAGTGAGTTGATGCTATCGGTAAGCCGTGAAAAGTGCGAGGGTATAATTTATTCTTCGAAAGGCGGAAGTGATTGAGATGAGAATAGGGAGTGACCAGTGGACTCCAGAGTGGCTCTATTTATACTCTCCGTTTGCCCAAAGCGCCTCTCTATTCCTAGGACAGATCACCAATATACCTGTTACCCATGCAATATCATGAATTGACTCGAGAACCGGCCTGGCTGACCGGACATGCGCATCAGCCTGGCCATCCAGCCATGATGCCTGGAAGCCAGTCCGGACGACACTGCGATAGCCAAGGGCCGATACGCTCTAGTCATGCACTTTGTGCGAAGCGCAGGGGTACAGTCAAGCCTGTATGGACAAAGACCCACCGGGATGACGGATCACATTATGATGGAAGGTGCGGTTTGTAAAATGCTTGGACAAACCAGCTACCGTCACCGCTACCGGTGTGAGGCCCTTTTAGCCCTCAGGCTTTTGGCAGTCAGGGACGAGTTTCAGCCGGGTCAACTGACTTTCTCTCAGCTCAACGGCCGACCGCTCGACCCTCTCGGGCCCCCGGCAGTTTTCTGAGCACGATCAGAGTGTTCCTCACATGCATGTCCTGATCCAGCAGATCGAGCTTTGTTTGTGATGACCTTCCGATCGAGAGCAGGATTGTGGTGCCTAATAATGCCTTCTGTTCATTACGCGTACTGTGGCGTAAGCGGCCAATGCATCGCCTGCTTACCCGCTCTCTGTCGGACCTGGGTAAGTAGCAAGGCCGATTGTTTTTTGAAATCTTGACGGGGTGAAAAGCCTAACGCTTCATTCTCCCTATGGCTTTTGCGGAAGGGGAGCGTCGACCTGTCCTCCGTCCTCCTTGACGGCATGTCAAACAAATTGTTGGGCTACACCACCGGGCTATCCCGACGTTTGCCCAACCAAACACGCAGCGTGCGTCATACCGTGCGTTTTGGCTGGCTGACCGACGGTGGTCCAGGGTTTTGAGGTCACTTTGAAGGGTGTGTCGATCGGTTGTCCGACCATACTCCGTCGGTGGCCCTACCATCCTCCAACTTCATGATGGGTTGGACCATCGTGGGTTGATCGTTGGAACGCGGTGGGTCACGGTCATCAAGCTACCCAGCAAAAAAAATCTGTCAAGCTGGGTCCATGGGATTTGAACCTGCAACCCACATTATGTGCTCACAGAAGCAATCGATGATTATAACCAATGACCGAAGCTGCCTTGATGAGAGAGAAGTCGGTAGGCTTGATGAAGCCGCATTCTTTTCTTTGGCTGTTCTTTTTTTTGACAAAGTCATTTTTTTGTTGCCAAATTTTGTTGATTCTAAATCAACTTTTGTCGAAGAGTTAACAGAAAACAAAGCTAACAAGCTGGTTTTCTGGTACAAAAAAAAATCACTTCCTGCGTTGGTCCAACCACGCCCAAACGTTGGGGGAGGAGCAGAACCGCGGTCCAAAAGCATCCACCCAACAGCGGAAGGCTCAGGTGTTGGGTATGACCGACGGGGGAGCTTTCCTCCTCCGTCTGGCCAACGGTGGAAGACCCACCGTTGTCCAGCCATCTCCTGACAATGGACCGACCAAACCCCCTGACTCACCGTCAGGGGATGGTTGGTCACTCGTCGGAGATTCTGCATGGTTGGAGCGAGCCTGGCTCCAACCATCCTCCGACGCTGCCGTTGGACCGTAGTCGGCGGGGTTGGGGCGAGACTCACAATACCCCCTACCGTCGTCCAACCCACACCGATCAAAAAAAGTGACCCGGTGGTGTAGCAGGAAAGCTATGGCAAGAAAGAGATAGCATCTTGTGACAAATTCATTACTCGAGTGCTCCCTTAGGTATTCGGTCCACTGGTATACATATACAGCTTCCCTTGTACAAGTTTTGTTACCACCGTGTGAGGGTCGGCCTACTACTTCTCAAAGGTCCAGTGGCTATGAAGTTATTCAAGAGAATAACTCGCCTCGGTAAGAAGATAGTAGTCGAAAGTCTAATTAAGACTTAGTTAATATTTAGATAAGGTTTTTATGATGTTGTGTTACTTTTGGTAATTCTTAATCTAAATGATGATAATGATAAGAAATATCGAGATGAGGAAAGAGGAAAACAAAGAGAGAAAGAACAAGCGCAAGACTATATGACATAAACGCACAGACCCAATGACGACAACATGAATTTAGAAAATGACATCATCCAGAAGAAGATCACATAAATATAAATGAATACGTCATCTTGTGATTCAATTTCTATATACATCTCATACGTCATTTGCTAAGTTAATCCAACGTTACCTTAATAGACTTACCTATTCTTTAAGTTACAGCCCGAGTCATGACAAAACAGGCCCCCCTTATACTCTAAATCGTCCCTACCTTCTTTTTATTCTTTTTATAATATTTTGCATGCGTGTTCCTAAAATTCAGCAAATAACTTGTTAGTGTATTTGGGAAATGTAAATGAGACACCCACGTATCTTCCCCTACTGTCGCATCTTGCCACGAAACTAAATAGTCAAAACTACCCTTCCGCAATTCTCTAAAATCCAAAACAGACTTAAGTTTAGTCCAATCAACAACTTGTTTTTCATCGTAGTATTTATTTTTCAAACCTGTTGAACACCCACGATCTACCAAACTATTGGGTGGAAAATACCGTACAATCAGTGAGACATTAAAGACAGGATGCAATTTAGGATATTGATGTTGAATTTTTAATTCTACCGCATTAGATCCTACCATTTTAATTACCTCAAATGGACCAATGTACCGGTAATCTAATTTTGAGTTTAGCCGTCGCGACTGAATGAACTTCCTCAGTAAAAGAACCTGATCCCCTGCTTGATAAACCGGTGCCTCTTTCTTTCCTTTATTGTAATATCTTGCCTGTTGAATACGCGCTTGAACCAAACACTCCATAGCCGTTTCCTGCGTAACTTGCAAGTCATAAAGAAATTCATCTAAATCTTGTTTTCCAGTGGACTCTGTCATAATATTAAACTTTGGATGATGCCCGTAAGTAAAAAAAAATGGTGAAATCTTCAAACTGGCCGAATCTAAATTATTCAAAGAAAATTCAGCCATATCAAGACACTTATCCCAATTATCCTGATAATAAGAACAAAAGTGACGTAGATAATCTTCTAGTATCTGATTCATCCTTTCTGTCTGTCCATCCGTCTGTGGATGATAAGCAGTAGACAGCGCCGATTTGATACTCAAAGAATTCATCAAAGCTTTCCAAAAATTACTCACAAATGTTGTACCTCTGTCTGAAACAATCTTGTCAGGTAGACCATGCAACCGGAAAATATTTTTTCTAAACAAATTAGCCAGAACCGCTGATGAAGCTGCCTCCCTACAGGGAATAAAGTGAGTCAGCTTACTCAAAAGATCAATCACCACTAGAATAGAGTCGAAACCTCCAGACAAAGGCAGCTTTGTGATCATGTCCATACCAATACAACTCCATGGTTTTGGTTCAGGGACCAGAGAGACTAATTTCCCATCCTTAAACATTCGCCGCGCCTTGACCCGTTGACAAGAATCACATGTCTTCACGAAATCCAGAATTGAAGACTTGACACCTGGCCAAGAGAAAGTCCGAAGCAAAATTGAAAGAGTACGAGCCACTCCTGGATGCCCGACTGCCGGTGAGTCGTGATACATAGACATAATCCGTACTCGCAAACCATCTGGTACATAAATCCTATCTCGATGCCACAAAATTTCATCACTCATGGTTAGTGTATGTAAACTCTTATTTGCATCTGAATAGTGTTTCTTCAAGAATACCAGTAGTTCCGCGTTCGGTCGTTGAAAATGTAAGTCATGCAACTTATCTACACATTCCAATTTACCAGCCATAACAAACTTATCGCGCAAAGAAGTCGACTCCGGGATAGTAGGCCTATCAGCCACAAAGTCTTCTCGGCGACTCGGCGCATCAGCAGGATTTTTGTTACCTGGAATATGATAAATCAGCATATTAAAGTTGTCTAAGTAACAAGCCCACCGAGCCTGTTTTGGTGAAAGATATTTAGCGCTTTTGAAATACATTAAGTTAGAATGATCAGAATAAACCTTGACAGGTTCATCCGTACCCATCAACCAAGCCCGCCAATCTTCAAACGCTGACACAATAGCCAACAATTCTAAATCAAAGATAGGCCAGGAGCGTTCTCTATCAGTCAATTTCCTTGAAAAATAACTTACTGGCCGATTGTGATTCTCTCCATCTGGCTGACTCAAAACCGCAGCAATCGCGTATCCAGAACTATCTACATGAACTGTCCTTACTTTATCAAAACTAAAATGCATCAATAATGGACCTTGGATGAAAGAAGTCTTTAATAACTGGAAAGCTGCTACTACCTCTGGTGATTGAAAATCCGTTACTGGTAACTTTTTTGTTTTCGTCAAAGCAGTCAATGGCCCCGCAATACCTGAAAAATTCTGAATAAAACGCCTGTAAAAGTTAGTAAACCCTAAAAATCGTTGAAGTTCTCTAATAGATGAAGGAAATGGCCAATTATCAATTGTATTCAACTTCTTATCACTCATCTTCAAACCATCCTTAGTAATGTCAAATCCTAAAAAAGTGACCTTCGAACAGAAAAACTCACATTTATTTAAAGACACCTTGAGAGAATAGTCTCTCAACTTGTTTAAAATGTTCCGTAAATCCGTGATATGCCTCTCCTTAGTTTTTGAAAAAATCAAAATGTCATCAATATAAACAAAACAGCAAACATCCAAATACTCACGCAAAACGTGTTGAATGAACGGTTGAAATGTGGCTGGCGCATTACACAACCCAAATGGCATAACCTGATATTCATAAAGTCCCCAAGGCGTACGGAAAGCTGTTTTCCACTCGTGTCCTTCAGCCACTCGTAATAAATTAAAAGCAGCTTTCAGATCAATTTTAGATAGAAAACCGCACCCTTGTAGATTGTTCAAAAGTTGAGAAACCAATGGCAAAGGATACGAGTCCCGAATTGTCATACCATTTAAAATCCTGTAATCCACACACGGTCGATCCGCTTTACCCGCCACCTTAACATAAAAGATTGGGGCCGCAGCAGGAGAAGATGACACCCGAATAAAACCTTTACGCAAATTGTCGTCAATGTATTCTTTCAATTGATCCCTCTCACCCTTGCTCAAATTGTACATTTTACCAAAGGGCGGAACCGCATTTGGTTTCAGGTTAACCTCACAATCAAACGTCTCACGATGAGGAGGCAAGCTTGCCAAGGATTCAGTCACAAACACCTCCTTATATTCATTGAACAAAAAAGAAGCATCAGAATGATCAAAAGCCGAGACAGCGTGTGACAAGGACTTAATGGTAATATTGTTATCTGATCCACCAACGTGAGTGTTAGTATCTTTTAACCATGAACTACCTAGAATAACATCTGAAGAAAAAATGCGCGTTACATGTAATCTGACATACGAAAAAAAATTTGAGTCATCAAACGTGGGAATAAGAAGTTTCCCTTTTATGTATTCTGTAACTTTTCCTGAGGCAGCCAATGATCCATCGAAAGATTGGCATTGCATCGGATCATGTAACTTGAATTTTTGTAAATTGTGTTTCCTAACAAAAGAATCATCAATAAAAGAAGAGGTCGCACCCGAATCAACCAAAACCAAACAATTAGTCAGCTTCAAGTCACCATCAAATAACGAAGAGTTGAAAAAAGGGCGATTATCAGAAGAGTCAGAAGTCTTAACATGAATAAAAGACCTACATTCTTCGAATTGCGCTTCCGCAAGCTGACGCTCAAAGAACAATTCTCCAAGAGTCATGGGCTCCATTTCTACCGTATCAACCATGCCTTGACTAGTGGAAGCCATCGGAGAGTTCGATTCTTGATTATTCAAAGCCCGTTTAGGCAAATGATCGGAAGAAGCATCCGACACCGATTGTCGCTTCTTTCCCTTGTCGGCAAGGAGATTAGGGTGAGAGTTTGGATGAGCCGAAGAATAACGACTCGCCGAAGAAGACCATCGATCCATAGCTGAAATTTATCGAGAATCATGAGACCCATTTCGATTGTCCAAACGGCCCTTGATACCATCCCCGGCATATCCTCCCCAATCCCTCCAAATACCCAAAATTTGAGGCTTAGATAATTGAGAATCTTTATCTATAGGACATCGACGCGCTTCCGAATGAGCAGAATCGTAACGACCCCCGCAGCGATGACATATGTGTTGAAGAACGCACTCATGTCGATAGGCGTCGTAAGTGAAACCAAGTTCCGCTGCAATAGCATCGATATCCATTGGAACTCCATCCGAAAGCCTTGGAGGAGCCCTAGCGGAATCGATCTTAGGAGGAAGCTGAATCTTCTGAACAATCAGTTGAGGCTTTTGACTCAATCGGTCAATCAACGCAACACCAGGTACATCGGCCGCCAATTCTACCGCCATCGCTTGCTTCTTCGCCAAATCCGTCACCCCATTCCAGCCACCTCGCAAAATCCCGAGTTGGATAATTTTTGGATTGATAGCTTCGTCGTACAGATCGCATTTCGACGCCTCGGAGAGATCAACAGCATAGAGTAAGGAATTGAATGAAACATTGAATTCTTCGATGGACGTGTTGCCTTGCTTCATGACACGTAATGATTTTTGAGCCTCTTCTTCTCCCTTATGATTGGAAAAAGTTGTCTCAATCGCCACCAAAAACACTTCTCCCGATAAGAGTTCTTCCAACAGAAACGGAGCCTTCGACGAAGCGGTATTGGGATCCAAGTTTTGATGATGTGCATTCTTCGCCATTAAACCGCGCCACCAAACGTAAGAAGCGCAGTTGTCCCCCAGTTTCCCATCTGGTTTACAAAAGTAACCGGCGATCCACATAACCTTGTGTTTTTCATTATGGAAATTGTCTGCATTCATCTCTAAAGAATGCCTCATAGCGAAACAAAATTCTTTAGTTTCTCCCAAAATACCAGAGAAATAGATATGAGAAAGATAGGGAGGATCTCGGAACGACTTAGGTTGTAAAGGTGGATGGGTAATGGAATGAGTCACAAAACCTTCCACACGATCCAAGCGAGAATTGGTAGAATTATTAACTGAATCGATTGCGTTGCGGACTTGAAGGAATTGATTGTTAGAATCCGTTTTAATCTTCATGAATTGAGAGCTTAGGGGAAGCAAGGATCTCAAATCGTCGAATAATTTGAGATAGCGACGTTGTTGAATTTCCAGATCAGCGATCTTTTGAGCGTGGGCGAGAATGGTATTATCGAGAGACTGATTCTCAAGACCTAAATGGGAAATCAAACTAGAAAACCCATCATCACGAGCCGTCGCAGGAATAATGTTCGGCGTGTCGGGTACAGGAAGATAAGGCATTGTTGCAGCCAACATAGTCGGAGACATTGGCGGGATAGGTCGGGGTTGGAAATCATTCGGAAGAGGCGATAACGGCGGAAGTGAAGGTGAGGGGGAAAGATAGTTTGGTCGAGGAGATAAAAAATTGACTGGCGGAGTCGGAGTAGGAGAAGGAAGCTTCATGCGAGTCGAGAGGAGTGGAGAAGAAGAATCGGACATAGTGAAAGTTGATCGATGTCGTCGTTGATAGAAGAGAAGAAAGTTGATTGAGAAATAATTGAATGGTGAAAAAAAATTTTCTTGACCGCAAACGAAGAAGATTGATACGGAAAATATAAAGATCTCGATATAACTGTGAGGGTCGGCCTACTACTTCTCAAAGGTCCAGTGGCTATGAAGTTATTCAAGAGAATAACTCGCCTCGGTAAGAAGATAGTAGTCGAAAGTCTAATTAAGACTTAGTTAATATTTAGATAAGGTTTTTATGATGTTGTGTTACTTTTGGTAATTCTTAATCTAAATGATGATAATGATAAGAAATATCGAGATGAGGAAAGAGGAAAACAAAGAGAGAAAGAACAAGCGCAAGACTATCTACATATAACTAAAAAAATGGCCTCAGAGGGCCAAACAAACCGTCAGGCTTGAATAGGCCTTTCTATTGATTTCTCATGCGGCTTCTAACGCCGGCGTCGATGTTGCACATTTCAATGTCATTTCCGACATTTGCTAAGACTTTACAATCGATGGCAACCTTCAAAAGCGAAGGCTATATTCACAATGACCTTCAAAAGCGAAGGCTATTACACCACAGGACCTTCAAACAAGTAAAACCCCCAACATCCGGGGCAAAAACACGCAGCCTCCCCAAATTTGGGGGCATATACTAGTATGACATAAACGCACAGACCCAATGACGACAACATGAATTTAGAAAATGACATCATCCAGAAGAAGATCACATAAATATAAATGAATACGTCATCTTGTGATTCAATTTCTATATACATCTCATACGTCATTTGCTAAGTTAATCCAACGTTACCTTAATAGACTTACCTATTCTTTAAGTTACAGCCCGAGTCATGACACACCGGTATGGTACCTCCAAATTACCCCTGGGGAAGATCGCCCTTGAAATTGCCAAGGGACACACTCACCACTGGTGGAATTCATCCGCGAGTGTCTACATGTCTCTTCTACTTGCTGGCAATTGGAGGCAGTACTTGGTAACGAGCAGAATTTCACGCCACTTTAATCGGCTCGGCCTGTACCACTGCCTGGACGACCACTGCACGGAAGTACACTGGCCCCTGGGTCCACAATATCATTCCCGCCCTACCTCTAAAGAGTTTTGGACATTGATGTTTTTGCTCATCGCGCTGGAAATTTTACCAGTCGCAATAAGAATGCCAGATGTGCCTGCCCTGGTGGCTGTCGGTTCGTTGTGCGTTTCATGACACCCCAGCAAGCCGGCCGGCCTTTGTTGCGGGTTACTATCATTAGGTAGAGCCCCGGAAGACCACAGGCCATGTTGCTTAAACCAACGTGGTGACAAAAGCGAGTTATTCTTAGCACCTGCAGATCCCTTTCGCAACTCCCAATCGGCCTGAATAGATTTTCAAATCTTGGTACCCACTTACCTCTTTTCGCAACCTTCATTGGGCTCCTATGCTTCTGTCCGGTCGTATCAGGGATATAGGTGTTGCTTTTGCATTAACAACCCTCATCACTTTTTCAACTGTCCAGCTTGCCAGTGTCCCAAGACACAGTTTTTTGCGGCGGGACGAAACTCAACCCCGTAATCCTCTAGTACCACTTGCACCAAACGAAAACCAGCTACAACAATCACCTGCTGTTGGCGGCAGAAGTACGGATCTAACTGTTGGTGGATACGCGGTCCCATCTACACTTGATACCGGTGGCGGAAATGGTTTAAGTCAAAACCCGACAAACTCTGCGTCCAATGATAATTACGAAGACTCTCTTCGTGTACCCCGTACCACCGACAGTGGCAATAGCAACCCAGCCCTTACTGATACTAATGGTGGATATGGGAGGCCAATCAGATCAGATAACAGAACTGGACGAGAAAATTATACTCTATCAGTATCTCTATCTCAGCCATCGACTTATGGCCAGACTAGGGCGAATGTTCAAAATGTCAATCCGAAGATTTCTGGTACTGATAAAGAATCGGAAGACACCCCTTCTCGATCTACATCTGCACTCGGCGGGACCAGAAGCACATCAACCGCTGTTGGTGGGAACGATTTGACGGCAAATCCGACCGCTTCCAATGGTCACGGTGGGTATGGCACCACAAGCGAATCTGGCAGTAGTATTTACACAAATTCTCAAGGTGGCTCGACCAATGTTGGTGGAAATGGTTTGAATGCCAATCCAACCACCTCTGGCACTATCGACGACCCGGACTATCAGGAAGATTCCACAACTACACCGGGCAGTGTCAGTGGTGCCAACGGAGTCCCATCTCTGACTAACACTAACAGCGGATATGGGACTCCAAGCAGCAACCTCAAGTCTGGCATTAATAGTCATGAAAATTCACCAACTCTAGGCACATCGACTAACGTTGGTGGAGATGTTTTAAATGGGCTTCCGACCTCCTCTAATACTGGCGGTGTTTATGGGACCCAAAGCAAATCCGACATGAATATGTATACAACTTCTCCAACTCCATCTATACTCCGCGGCTCTCAAGGTCCATCAACCCCTGTCGGTGGAAACGGTCTGAATGCAAATCCATCATCCTCTGACGCTGGTGACGACCTCGACACGATCACACCGAGCAGTCTCGGTGGCGCCAACGGTATCCCAACTGCTACCAACGCGAACGGTGGGTATCAAAACCCAAGCAAACCCGGCATTACTACGTATGCTGTTTCTCCATCTCCATATGTACCCGACAGCTCCAAAAGTACAGCGCCTGCTCTTGGTACAAATGGGATGACTAGCAATTCAGCTACCTCTGACATTGGTGAAGAATCGGACGAGTTTGGATCTCCAACCAGTAACATCGGTGGTGGCAACAGCAACTCGGCTACTAACGTGAACATCGGATATGGCGACCCAAGCAAATCCGGCGCTGTGAATTATGGAACAAGTTCACCGAGCAGTCTCGGTGGTGCCAACGGTATCCCAACTGCTACCAACGGGAACGGTGAGTATCAAAACCCAAGCAAACCTGGCATTGCTACGTATGCTATTTCTCCATCTCCATATGTACCCGGCGGCTCCAAAGGTACAGCGCCTGATGTCGGTGGAAATGGGATGACTAGCAATTCAGCCACCTCTGACATAGGTGGAGGATCAAAAGCGTTGGGATCTACAACCAGTAACATCGGTGGTGGCAACAGCAACCCGGCTACTAACTTGAACATCGGATATGGTGACCCAAGCAAATCCGGCGCTGTGAATTATGGAACAAGTTCACCGAGCAGTCTCGGTGATGCCAACGGTATCCCAACTGCTAACAACGCGAACGGTGGGTATCAAAGCCCAAGCAAACCTGGCATTAATACGTATGCTATTTCTCCATCTCCATATGTACCCGGCGGCTCCAAAGGTACAGCGCCTGATGTCGGTGGAAATGGGATGACTAGCAATTTAGCCACCTCTGACATTGGTGGAGGATCAAAAGCGTTGGGATCTACAACCAGTAACATCGGTGGTGGTAACAGCAACCCGGCTAGTAACTTGAACATCGGATATGGTGACCCAAGCAAATCCGGCGCTGGTATTTATGGAACAAGTCCTTCAAACCCGACCAGCTTGAGTGGGGGAAGTGCAATTCCAACTAGTAATAACATTAATGGCAGAGGAGCTAGTGGCACTCAAGCAAGGAATGCAACTACCACCACAACTCCGAGCACAACTCAGAAGCCACCGATACCTGTTCCACCTCCCGTTCGTCCAACCCAGCCAGCGGATGGGACTCATGCCGATAAACCAATTACATGCGGCCTCAGTTTTCACACTTCACCTCCTGACTCCAAAAAAAAGGCTGACTCTGTCTGTGAGCTCCTAACTGTAGCCATGATTTTTTCCCCCAGTTTCTATTCTTAGCTAACTTCCCATTTTTTTCGCAACAGCTTGTCGTAGCAAAGATGGTTTGGGATACTACTGTCCCTCCTCCAAATGTTTGGTACCAAAACCAGGAAAGACTGAACCAATAACCCCTTGTGAGAACTTGTCTTTGCTCTTCTGAAAGATTAATCAGCTAGCATCCAGATTCCAGATTGTATGATTCTGACCAGCTGGTGCTTGCGCCTCACAATCAATAGTTTCCGATTTCACCTTCGAAAATTGCGACCGGCTGGCTGACAAAGATTTAGGTGCCCAAACAGCCATACCTGTAGTTCATCCAGTTCAATTTTGGACTCGCAAAGAGGCGGGGAGCTTGAGTAGGTGACTGTAGTTAATGATTGTTTCCAAAAAGCAAAAACTGATTTTCAACTATGCAAAACCTATTTTGTAGCTGTTAAAGGTTATGAAGATGTCACTCTCAAGAATCAGAAACATGTTTACATATGCCGTTCCACCAAAAAAGCTGATGTCAACTCTATGAGACCTGGTAAGTTTTTAACTTATATTTCTGAACAGTGCAGCATTTTACTAACTCCAGAGGATTATGATTGCCAGTTTGTGAAAAGTGTTCTTCCAAGAAGTTCACGGATGACCCCGACCCTTCCAGAAAAACCCCATGAATAAATTCAGTGTCAGGCATCAAAAATTTTCAATCAACACCAGAAGGACATCTCTTCAAACTTTCTTTCCACAAGGGCTCATGAGGAAACCCTTGGGCCTTACCCTACCCCCAAAAAACAAACAATAATAATAATTTAACTCCTTTCCTAATCTCCGTTCATAGACAATTATCAATGTGTGTTTGAAAACCAATATACCATCATCACCTGTTTTTTTAGCAATCATCAAATGTAAACAAAGGACTTTTATTTTTGTTGATAAACATAATAATCAACATAACTTCAAATTCTGTACAATTGTATACACATCACCAAGAAAAATCAAACATTGATGTCATACTTAAATCAGGTGATTAGTTCCTGATTTGTTTCTGCACTTGGACTAAACACATGATTGATCTATTGGAATGTTTTCAATGTGAAGTCTACTGTATCAGAAAGTTTGAGCTAAGCAATACAGATGCATCTCTTCAAATCACTCATGAGTTTCAGTGACAGAAGACATAAAACTCATTCCAGGATCTTAGGACAATTTGAATCAACATATCTCAGAATCTCAAAATGGAGTCAGATTTCATTGTACCCCCACCTGATCTTGTGAATGTTGAAATGTAGCCTCCTGTTGGGCAAAGGCCAATAGATTTTTATGTGATTTTCTTCACCATACACTTCTTCCAGTGAATGGTTTGTTGATTTTATGTGACATTTGAGATTTAGCAACTGAAAATTGAAATCATACAAATTTGTGATGAACAAATATCATTCCTGCAAACTTAGAATTCTTGCAAATTTTAAAGAAAATCAAACCTTCAGCATCATCCACCAGTTTTTCTTCTTATTTATCATTTCAAATCCAACTTTGTCATGAGAAGTGTGTTCTGAAAAGCTCTATTTCTCTGCCATGAAAGCTCTTTTTCAGAAAAGGGTGCATTTTCATATTTATCATATGCCATAAACCCAACTATAAACTTAAGAAATAAATAAGGGGGTGAAAACTCAGCTGTATGATCTTGCAAGGGAAAACTAATGGAAAAATTTAATCAGACCATTGAATTGGATCCCCCCCCCCTGAAATTGACTTGGGGCCTGTACCATAGCACCTGGACCAATTTTGATTTTTTTTCACCAACCGTAATTTGATTCTGGGTCTGCATCAAAAGGATGATGTATTGTACACTGTATCCATCAGATCCCATTTCCAAGTTGGGAATTGAAAATTGACCTGAAAATTGGCAAAACTGGCAACTGTGCCATGTGGTACAGGCCCTTATATCTTACCTTTTTGAAAAAAATGCAGTCAAATGCCAGATTCCTAGTTGCATTCTTCATGATTACTTTCAATGAGAATTCAATTCGAATTTCAATAAAGCATTGTCTCATGATATAGTGATCTTGAAAAAAGCTAGGATAATCATAAGCTAGCCTGAGGCTGTAGAGTGTATAGTGATGTAGCTTTTCTGGAATAATGATAATACTACAACTTATAGCTGCTGGATCTGCAGCTGATTTCAATTCCCTTGGAGACCATGAGCCTCACCAAGATGAAAAACAATGAATCTTGTGGTCATTCAAGGTCAAATTTGGTTACATTGGTTCAATGCCTTCCAGCACAACCCAATTATGTTATTTTGTTATTTTTCTCTATGACCACCGTTGGGGCTTGGTTAAGCTGCACTTGATCCAATAGCAGATCATGACAAAATCAGGCAACCACTTGATATCGAGCTTTCCGAAACCAGATAACAATGCCGTGGTCAATCAAAGACATCCAGCCGCAGGCCCTGTTTGCTTGCTATGCCGTTGGATAGTTGGGCGCAGAACAAGAGCTGATCTCGGCTGTTCTGGCAGAGTGTGTTTGTATGAAAATGGTAAGGTTTGAGGCAGAAAACCTTAGACGGAGAGAAAATTGATTTTATTAACAAGACTAATTTTTTTTTCTTTAGAAATAATTAAAGAGCACGAGTTCAAATGAATGAAAAACCTGAAAGTAAGAAATAAAATTGATCGAATTTCCTTCTTCTTTGCCGCTTGAAGATGACAAGACGGGTTCAGGTGTCGATGATCTCATAACCACTATCGGTTACTAAGCCGAAGGGAAAGTTGTGCAAACCCACCCGGTGCTAGTTGCGGCCTCTTTGGACCGGCCCGGTGACGTGTGTAGCGGAGGTGATGCCGTGGCGGTTCAAGTCCAGTTTGGGCTGAGCGGGATGAGCTAGCGAACAAGAGGATGAATGAAGATACTATTGAACCTTTCTATTTAAGTTCCACTCCCCTTTCCCCAGTTCCAAGTCTCTCGTACGTTGCAAACAACTTTCTACGGAACTCATTGCACTCCATTAACTGAAACGCCGGTCATTTCTTTCCTCCTTTCTTCATTCTATTAACTGAAACGCCGGTCATTTCTATTTTTATTTCTTCAATTAATCTCGACATATTTGGATCATTATAAACAGGTTTTATTTATTTATTTCGCTTTATTCGCTTTTTCATTCCGGTTGAAACACCTATCGCCAACAAAAGAAGCTTTACGCCATGAACCCAAGCTTCTTCAACCAACTCGTCATAGTTACCATCTGCCTTATCGAATTTTCAAGCGGACACTCGTTCATTTTGGCTATCGATGGAGGCAACAGACGGCGATCCACGGGCTTTGGTACTCGTTTGACATCCAGAGGAAACCTGGTCCAGAACACAGGTATCATCCTTGAAAAAGAAATCGCGTCAGGGGTTACAACACCCTGCGGAAGGATATTCGGAGGCGATGGTTTAAAACCTTTTGTGATTGATGTTGCTCAAGAGTTGGCCTCTGGTAAGCCTATCATCATCGCCGAGTATCGAATTCTGCTGACGCCTTAACATTTCATAGCTGAAGAGGACGGAGTTCCCTCGGCAACCGAAGACGGGTCAATTTCTATGAGTGTCTATGTTCATAACCCGGATGGTGGGGGGCCGTATACCTGCGAGTATTCATCTGACGCTACACTGCAGCAACTCCAGCCCATGACAATTACGACTCAGATCGAAGGAGACAAAGGGACGAACCCGGCTGCCAAAGACTTCGCATATCCCCTGGTTGCCAACCTACCCAAGTGAGTTGTGGTCTTCGTTAGTTCAAGTACTCCAAATCCCAGATTCCGTTTTCTAATAGCTTTTAACTCCTTCGCTGTTAGTGATGCTATTTGCCGAGGCGGCATCGGAGGTGACACGTGTATCATGCGCTGCATTAATCCATTGGGTTTTGGCTCTTGCGCCGCCATCAAGCCATTTCTACCAATCAATCAACCTTCACTCAATCAGCCACCACCAAATCAACTTCCACCCAATCAGCCCGGAGTGCCAAGAATGGACCCATTCAAGAGGCGATCTATGATTTTGGATGGATTTTCTGAAAATTGAGTGAAGACGTTTTGCATTTTAGATGCTGAAGAAAATGGCTAGAAAATTGTGCAATGAATGTAATTTTAGAGCTCAATGGAAATGGATTGATGGAGTGAACTTGTGTAGAATTAAAAAATCACCCCCCATATCAGATCTTCTTTTGCAATCGAAGCACCAAACGTGTGCCTGGAATGAGGACAGTCCTAGATCTGCAATGATACGAGTTTGTCAGAAAACCCTACAAGCCCTTACAATCCAGAAGGATAATACAAACAACCTTCAAAAAGAATGAGGAGACTCACAATTCACTTCTACTATGTCTTTCCCTCTTGTAGTAATATTTGTGAGCACAGTTCATAACATTGAACATCAACATCTGAATGACTGAGGTGTCTGAAGGTCTTGAGTTACCAAGCCTACAGGATAGTAGGAATGTCTTTGAAATTTTGATCCGTGCTCTAGCATTCTTGTTCAAAAAGCTCCCTCAATGGAAGGACTGTGACAGGCAGGTTGGTATGTTTTGGAAGAAATATTGCCTGAAACATTGTAATATTTTTGGGGAAAAGCTAGACCAAAACTTAGCAGCATCTGTGCCATGGGATTCAATTTTGAAGAATCAGTCATTTTTTCTGTTGTCTAGTCAAAATTTGGAATAAGTGGAGAGATCTGCTATTGGAATTCTGAACTCTAAGGCCAAAACAATGGTCACTTTGGATGATGCAGTATTTGAGGCTACTTGATGGGCCAGATTCTATCAATAGGGGTGTTCAATCAAAGCTGGTTAGAAAGCGCATCAGGGAACCAAAGAGGAAGAAGAACAGGAAATTTATTAGCTGGGTGTAACAATCATGAAAGAACTATGAAAAATGGCTCACCTTACAGGCTTACAACAACAAGTAGAGTGCACAAGAATGGAGGAAAAATTCAAATAGGTTTATTCCTAACCTACAGACAGGCATGCCTCAGTCAGCTATGTAAGATGAGTAGTGAGAGTTATTATTTGCAAGACTTGCTGATCTCAATTGGTTGTTTGGAGTCCCTATTTTCAATGGATTGCATCCTTCCATACTGTGACCCAGTTTCCCAAAAATGAACCTGTTATTCACCCAAGCAGGAACCCCATGTTGAGGTTAGCAAGGTTAATACATTATTGGAAGAGATTGGTCATAGCAGAATGCTGCAACAGCAGTTGTAGTGCAAGTTCAGCTGCCTGCTTAAGTTCAACAGTATTTGGCACCCTCATGAAGCTGAGCTAAGTCATCCCATTCTGGTCTCAAAACATTTTTGAATTCACATGTGGGGTTTTTTTTATTAATAAATACATGTTAAATAATAAAATGGAATGAGGATAAGAGTTATTTTGGGATTAATAAAATAAATGAACAAGGAGGTTGAGAAGAGAGTGAGACAGCTCAAAGAAAAAAGGATAGTGCAGAAGATGAGAGAGGGGCAAGAGAATTTGATGAAAGCAGCAGTGATTGTCAAGAGTTGAGACTTGATGCAAGGGGGGAGGGAGTGTCTGAGCTGCAGACTGATTGGAAAGATTTGTCCTGCAACACATAATCTAATGAGAATCTGATAGACTTGGACAGTATTTTTGCTTGCCTGTTCAATGAAACGGAAAACTTACAGGTTTGCTTGGATGCTTGTTGGGCACCTCTTGACTGTTTCTTCCCACTTGAGCCAGTTTTGGGATGTTTGCGTGGCTGCTGGGATGCTGCAGGTACCCGAGGTGTTGGTTGCTCAGGAGCCCTTGGATAGAAGACTGGGTTCAATTGTTTGACCCATTGTTTGGTCCGCTCATTAGGTTCATTGTGAAGCTTCAGTAAGTCATCTGGTATTGCAGTAATCAGCCTATCTAGTGCAGAGCGTATGTTAGGGGTAAGGCAGTCAATTTTGTCCAGACCAAGAAACTGGTAAGAAACTCTTCTGGTGTCATCAGGTGTTGGATCTGTCCATGGTGTAACATTATGATTGGCGGGTCTCAAGCTGAATAACAGAATGAGATAGGGATTTTCGATGCCCTCAATATTGGCATAACTTTTTGACCAATTGGGACTCTGCTTCCAGTCAACGTAACCTGTCTGGTTTATTGTTCAAACACCACAAAAGGTGATGTTTCTACGGTCTAGCTCTGGAGATTCAAATTTGGGTGCCAGATAGATGGGAAAAAGCTCGTCAAGTCCAGGTTGCCTACTCTGGCATTGGACCAAAACACCTTGGTACAAAAGCTCCAAGAAGTCAGTAGCGCTGGGTGTGTATGAAATTTGGGCAAAGTGGTTAAAAAATATCCACCCTTTGTCCAAGAGTTGTGTCTTGTTGTCTTTGCCCAAGGGTTGCGTTTTGTTGTCTTTGTAGCCAAACTCTATTTTACATGGGTCTTTCCCACTTAAGGTGTGGAGGAAATCTTCCAATCGCACTGAATATCCATTGCAGATCATATTGGTAGTGTCACAAGGAATTTCCCGGGTTTTCTGCATAGCGTGTATCAATATTAATCTGGTCGCCATCTCTCCAGTGTCTCCAAGGGCAATGAGTCCTTTTTGCACTGCAGAAGTAAGAACATTGATACACTTGATCCAATACATCTCGTTGGATGCAAGAACACGGTTGGCCGCAGAAGCATAGACAAACTGCGGGGGATAGTTGCTGACAATCAATTCTCAAGTTGAATCAATGAACATGCAATGTGCTGCATGACTTGCAACAAGTTCTGAGCTGATGGGTGAATGTAGGGTCAGCCGGGTCTGGATCAAGGAGCCCAGTATGGCAAAACATTGTGGTTCAGACAATTCTGAAGAAGCCAATCGACTGTTCAGAAGTATCATTATGCCCTTGAAATAAAGCCCATAAAATGGGCAGCCGTAGGTAAAGAGCCGTTCCGGCGATAGCAATTCATCCCATGAGCTTGGCGGTGCTTCCGGGACAAACACATCAAGTGATGAGATTTTGAAGATTGGTGCAAATAATTTAGAGCCAAAACCGTGGTGCCTTGAGCTGCAATCTTGGCTCAGGGACGGGTTGAAGTTGGTGACCCGTGAGATTGTATCATTGAAGATGCCAAAGACCCCCTTTTTTGGAGGGTATTTCTGATAAAGCCTGTCAAATCACACAAAAGTATGGAATCTGGAGCTGTGTGTCTACGGGATTGATCAAGTTGCTGGCCTTGTCTATCGCCGGCAGAACCCTGAGCCCTCCGTCTTCGTTGAACTCAAGCGTTTTAGACACCTTTTTTACCACAGCGGCTAGAGATTTGTCTGGCGTTGAGGGGCTTGTCTGAAGCTGTTTCATTTCGTTTTCGACGTCGGTGTTATATTCATCCTTCAAAGTTTTGTCCATTTGAAAGCTGTAGCCAAACCACTCAGTTAATCGATCTTTCAATTCTTTTTTACATATATCCGGTCTTGAAAAGAATTTAGAAACCGTGTTGAGGATTGCAGCCAATAAGTGAGTATAGTGCTTGAGCATGCCTGATTTCGGTGCCACCGGTGGGAGGAAGTAACTTGCAATTTCGGAACGAGGGGGCTGGCCAGTAGATATTGCCGCTCATGGTTGGGCCGACAATCGAAGTGTAGGGTGCCTTATAAGCATTTCGCTGCCATAGGCCTGCAAATTCTGTGAGGGTTTTCAGGGTTGGGAGAACAATGAGATCGTGTCCCTCATATTCTGCTCGGAAGCCTTCCTGGACGATTGCGGTTGACCATTCGATTCTGTCAGCCTTGGTGAGTATCTTTTTGGTGGGAGGGGTGGAGCCCTCAATTGCAGCAAGCATCTCTTCATTCGACAATCCAGAAGGATTGTCCGAGGGGAATCGGACGGAGTGAGCGCACCGGATCAGTGTGGTGATTTTGTCTTGATCAGCTTCATTGGTGAGTTCGAGTTTCCGCTGGAGTGAGGCAAAGGTTCCCTGCATCCCTGAGGTAAATGCCTCCCAGTAGGCTGCGACAATTGCTCGCATTCTCTCGCTCAGTTCCAAAAAGCCAAAAACACGATCTAGTTGGTTGTTGTGTTCTCGGACCTTGTCCACTTCAGATTTGTCAGGAATGTCTAAGAAGATCAGTTGCTGTTCCGTAGCTTGTAACCAACCAAGGAGAATCACTTACATCCAGCAGTGCTCGAAAGTAGATCGAATAACTGGGCTGGATCCTTATGCTCGGCGTGGAGAATCTTAAAGCGAGCGCGTTTGGTGTCACTTTCTTTGGCTTGAGTAGCTTGGGATTTCCTGTTTGACTTCTGAGAGGTTTGACAGAGATAAGTATCAATATTCGAGCTGCAAGTATGTGTACAGAGAGGAAGCAGATAGGAAATCTTACTCGGGCCAAACTTGACACAAGTCTCTGGCTGCGGCGGGCGCATCTGGCAGATTAGCGCTGGCCAGGCGGTTCCCGAAGGGAACTCCCCGCGGGGAGACTTGGGCCAGAGGTCAATGAACTCAGGTGCTGAGTTTGGATTGTTTTGGTGGGAGCGTCACAAGATTTGAAATCCTGACGCTCCCTCAAAAGTTTCTTGATGTTTGGTCTCAAGGTTTTAAAGACCTGCCTGATCTTATTGATCAGGCCAAATTTCAAAGTTTTAGAATCACAACAGGAATTAATAATGATTTTCTAAAATTAAGGTTTGAATTTTTTTTGAGCTCAAATGCGGGGTTTGCTCAACTTGGGCCCACCAAAAGAAGCCAAGTTGAGTGGAAAATTCAACCTTTTCAAAAACATTCTTTAAATGATTAGCCAACATAACAAAAAAACTGAACACAGGAAAATGTGGACAAGAAGCAGGCTTTCCCTGACCCGGAAGGGAAACACATGGATGTGACTGGAGGAGTGCTGAGAGTGGAAAACCCACAAAAAAGTGAGTTTTCAGCCCAATTTTGGAAACTCAGCACGCGGGCCTAGTCACATTTGTCTTAGGCCTCCACTGGCGTGGACAGCTCTGCTGCTCGCTCCCGCTCCCGCCGTGGAGGCCTAGTTAGGCTCGTACTCGGGCCATTGGTAAGGGGCACAACCAAGCGGAGGGGTACAGTGGCGCAACCCATCCTACTGTACATGTATTTTGGGGTTCTGAAATGTTTGCAGGAAAAAAATCAAGAAAATCTGCCCTGTGAAGGGCAGGATCCAAGGAAAATTTAGGTTTTGGGGCTTGGAAAATTAAGAAATGGTGCAATTGTGGCCTTTTGTATGGAAAAAACTACATCCCAGAGTCAAATTAACATGTTTGGCAGCAACCTGCAGCAACAAAAATGTAATCTAGGTTATAACTTATGCACATAGCTTTGGTGGCAGAAGCCATACTTATGGGTTATCAGGGTTAAGTACATGGATATGGGACCATAGGGGCATTTAAGCCCATGGATTCTGAAATGTTGACCCCAAATAAAAAAAACTTTTTTGTTGGAGCAGTGGGGGCTTAGCCCTTTTATCTATGGAAGCTACAGCCCTAAAACAGGCTAAATCTACAATAAAAATGGGTGATGGACCCCAAGTGCCTACAAACATTAGGCTGGCAGGCCAATTTTTTTTTTGCTGGTGATGGTGTACAGTAACTTGGGTTGCGCCACTGTAGACTGAGAAGAAGTGCGTCCTCTGCGAGCGAGGGCGGTGGGGTTTGAGGCCGAAGCGCCTCCGAACTTCGAAGGAGGGGGGAACTTGTGTCGAGTTCGTTGAAAACCACGAACTCGCAGTCTCGCATTCACCCGGAACTTCTTGATCAGGGTCTGACTTTCTACAAATGTAAGTGTTCCTTCTACTTCGTGCACGAACGCATAGCTAGCTTACTGACTGTTGTTTCGAATGATTCTTGGAACCGAAGAACAATTATTCTGGTCTCAGGTCGCAGTGTGCATATTGTCGTTTTGTCAATCAATCCCAAGATATGACTGTTCAAGATTCACGAAGCACAATTGAGCTACCCCTCTTGACACCGGCTGTTCTTCGGGCGTGTTCCTTTCAAAGCTGGTACCATTCATTTCGTCCGCATACATTCCGATCGACCATCATCACTCTAGAGCCACCTCACATCGCCTACTTACGCGATAGCGGTCATGGGCTTCATTTACCCGAAGAATTGGATCCAGTCTCGAGGTACTTCGGCTATAACTCTACATCACCTTCCTCAGACTGTCTCGCTAATGATTAATTTGGCCCGCGTTCATTTGAAAAGCTACGAGAGTCAGCTGAGCGACTCAGAAGACGATACAGAGGCACCACAGATTTCATCAGCTGGCTCCTCGTCTTCCAGGTCATCTAGTCCACCCCCACGCTATTCCTTTCCAGAACTCACACAGGCGATTGCTGAGACGATTGAGCAATACGGGGGTTCAGTGTTTCCGAAGCTGAATTGGTCAGCGCCTCAAGTTGCGCCTCATTGAAGAGCTGAAGAATCTTATGACTGTACCGCCGATAGCAAAAACGAGAGGTCTGATGCTATACTTTCTTGGATTTTGCTTGACCGAAACAGGACGCAGGCTTTCTCTTGGTTTCCGGTGACGGTCCGTTGAGATGTCGGAGCCCGATGGATGTATACATGCTCTTGAAAGGCAGTGATTGCATTTTCCATGACCTTGATGTACACGAGAAGATCTCTCAAGCTTCGCCCGACGGCAGTTCCTTACCTGTCGCGCTAGTTTTACGAGAGTGGTTCAATCTCAACCCAGCCCACGAATTTCGATGCTTTGTGAGAGACCGGAATTTGATTGGTAAGTCTTCCCCTCAAAAACAATCCAATCAGTGCTCGGGTGCTGATGTTTGCATGGTTTAGCTATCTCCGCCAGATACTCAACGTACTATGACTTCTTACTACCCCAAGAAGTAAGACAAGCCATTGTCGAAAGGATTCACACATTTTTTGAGACGGTCATTGCTCCTCAATTCCACTTGTCGGACTGTCAGTTGCTACCCCCATATACTTGCGTCAACTCAAATTTAAAACTGAAAATCCTGATTTCTTTCTCTGTTATGATCAGTCGTTTTTGATGTCTATCTCAAAAATCCTACCAAAATCGCATCATCATCGACTGCCAAACCCAATTTAAAATTGGTCGACATCAATCCATATGCAACTTACATCGACCCTTGCCTATTTTCGTATGAGGAGCTTGAAGAGTTCTATTCGACTACTTTTGGTGCGCCTAGCGAGCCGAAACAATCGACCCCCTTGCTCAAACTTGTTGAATCTGAACATCCTCATCAAAACTTCCGGGCTTCCAAGTTTCAAACGTCAAAGCTTCCAGTAGAATTCGTAAAATTTTCTCAAGGTCAGTATGTTCCCTCTCGGCCTCCTTTAATCCCAAAAAAATGCAAACCGATGTTTTTTTTTCTTTGTTTTCTTTGGGCCTTCCCAATAATTTCACTAGACCAAGACGTCAACCATTTATCTGATGAATTTAGAAAAATGTTAGATTCTGAGAAACGATGACAAACAAACGAAATACACGACTACGGATATGCTGTGATCCCATTGCTTCATGTGGCACTGACCATGATATCTCTCAAACAAGAAGCAGTCGACGTTTACTGACAACTCATCCATTCACCTTACAAATAAACCACTGACTGATACCGTTGTTGAACTATCACCGCGGGCATGTATCTATCCCGGATCAAAGGCCTGCTCATTGACGGCTTCACACTTTTCGATGATCGTTTCCAGCGTGGCACGATGGATGAGATGTGGGATCAACACTCGACGGCTTGAGTTGACAAATCCCGCCCAGAAATCATCTTGTACATGCAGCTCCAATTCCTCCCGTTCATTTACAGAATTGCATCCATAACCTATTTTTCTTAGTAGCATGAAGAAATCTACCGTATCAAGTATCAGCTGGATTAATCAGTTTTGATATTCCAGATAACCGGGTTTGATGCCTTCTACCCTCTCGAACGGGCCAGGCGCGTTCAGTTAATCTGAATCCAACCCCAACACTAGGGGCTGCCGCAGGGGACCCTCGTCCATACTTTTGGGTGTGATGGTGATGGGAAATTGATGGGACATGACACGAGATGCTTAGAGGTTTGCGATAAGAATTGCTGCTCAGAGTTAGATTGGACACTAAACCCTCTTGATGCCATAGACAACCCTCCCGCCATAACCTTCCTCATTGAGTCACAACAAGAGCTTCACCTCCTACTCACGTCTTATCGAACAGCTCCACCTTCCCCCGTTCAACCCCTGATTCTCGTCGACCTCGCTGAATACTCTAGTATTCTTGGTAACCACCCCCCAATACCCCCCCCCCCAATACCCCCCCCCCCCCCCCCCCCCCCCCTATGGGAGGACCCTGACAGACTGACATGTATCGGAAGAGATATCACCCGTGACCTTGCAAAATTTTGGGCAAAAGCTACGCCAAAATTTATTGCAAGGTGAGCTTCACTAGAAAGATTTCTTTGAGACTCTTTCATTTTCCTGGTGGATGGGTCAGGCAGCCAGCCCCCAGTGCTCTGAAATTTCATAAGAAGCGACAATTTGCGTAGCACATCTACTCAACTTGAGGTGTTGAGAGCACTGCTTGTTTCTCTTCGCTTAAAAGCCTCTCGAGCCCCCTAAATTAACGAAGTCCGGCGCCGCAAGTTCACAACAGACGCTCGGCCGGGTGTGTTGGCCCATGGGACACCGCTCCCCAGCAGCGAGGGCCAAGCTGTACTACCCGAAGTCAATCAGTCCCACCTTTTGGGATCTGAGGCAGAGAACCTGCGGGGCACTTCCAGTCCAGAGACGGCTTTGTTACGCTCGTGTTCTAGTCTGCCAACCACCAGACAAATCTGACGGGTGTGTGGGACAAATGTCCCACCAACAACCCCCAGTCCCAACTGGTATTGCCATCCGTGGTCCACCGCCGCCATTCAGTACACTACGAGTTGTGTAGATTAATCAATTGCGCTCATCATTCTCTCGAAAACAGATTACTCCGCTTTCTTTTTGAGGGCGCTGTTGATCCTGTCTCTTACCAATTGACGAAAAGAATGGGATTGTCCCCGCCAAAACAAACCCTAGCATAGCCAACAGTCCATAGATAAGAAGCCAATCAGACAATACCTTCAGCTTGCCCTCCACCACAACGAAGAGCGCTGCCCCTCATAGCTTCACAACGAGAACTAGTCCATTATTTTTCAAATTTCAATTCCTACCCAGAATGAAAGCCACTACCTCTCTGTTCTTTCTTGCAGCCGTAGCAATGTCGGCCGTCATGGCTGACTTTGATACTACACCTCCTCACACGACATGTTACAATCACTTCTTGACGACCGGTAAGAAGTGTGTGTATTCTTCACCAAACGATATGGAGCGATGCCCTGCACCTCCAGATCCTCCAAAGACTTCACAATCAGTCCCTCTGGTGAGCCATGTTCATGTCTTTCTTGGTTAGCCATTGAAATTAGATTAACTCTACCGACATTTTGTATTTCAAATGTGACCTGTGCAGTTCCAACACCAGATTTCAATGAATAAGCGGAGCGAGGATCACACGTTAGGACGCCGGTACGACACCACCAAACCGGTGAGTCACATAAATCGCTTCGAGCGCAGCACTCCTTAGAGACAGGCATCTGAAGCCGTGTTCAATTTCATTTTTTTTCCTTTTACTAGGTAACCACGGCGGTCAAGATGGTGTTTGTGAGTCTATCTCTTAGTCGGTCACGTCCACCACCGTGATCCAACAAGTGATCTGAATTACGGCTGGGATTGATTTGCAGACCTGCCCTGAGCCTCAAAACCCGGACCCCAATGATGATTCAAGTGGATTGGGTGTGTGCCTCTGGGTCGGAGCTAACTGTAATTCTACGGGTTGGGTCAACAAGTACGTTCAACGTGTACTGAAGGCATGTCAATCAACAAACTAATCTTTCCCTCTCCAAAACGCTAGGGACAACTTTTCTAACTGTGGGAAACAGCTGTATGTGAGAGTTCCATGCTTCTTGAAATGTCTCACTTACCACAGCTCGTCCAAATGACTGATTCAACCTAAAATCTAGATACATCCAAAGGAAAGGTGACATAATGAACCCCAAGTACCCCAGAGTTATCGGTGGTTAGTCGAAGAATTCTTTGGCCGTCTTTCAAAGGAACAATGACTGAATAAAAATCCATCTGTCTCTGTTCAATTAACGGCAGGCTGTGACTTTGGACCTGACCTTCCGAACGAAGTGGGGTGCTTCAACCTTGCAGTAAACCAAAAGGTGAGCCGATTGTTTGGTCTGGCCCCATTGAGCCGACGAGAAGGAACTATCAAGAACAAATGACTGACAGTGATCATCTTGGCCAGCTATTTGATGCATTCAACCCCACCGAGGAGGAACGCAGTACTGGCGTGTTGAGTAACATCATGACTTGGGATTTGTACGTCAATATTTCCGGTTACCTTTCCCCTAACATGTGGGTGGACTGAGTTTTTCTTGTTGTTTTCTTTTCTCAACCAGCAACAATCTCAAGGGCTCCAAGAAGCAGAATGGTCCAAACTGAGAGGGTTCTTTGAAGCTCGACCCCGCGCAATCTTACTTTCTTCTTCTTTCAGTCGTGTCAAATCTTTCATTGTTGTTCCATTTCCTTTTTTTTGTTCAACTGGACCCATCCATTCACCTTACAGATAATCCACAGACCAAGAATTATCAGCACAGATATGCATCATCTCGATGATCATTGGTGCAAATGCGACATTAGAGTCTTTCCGCGGATTCTACTTCAATCATCGTGCTGTTGTTTCGAAGAACTTTGGCGTTAAAACTAATCGAGAAGAAGAATTGGGCAATCTAATAGTTTCATTCCTCTTACTTTTTCTTTCTCGAGAGACATTTCGTGCGGTACGATGGATGGGATGTGGGATCAACAATTGATGGCTTGAGTTGAAAAAACCCGGCGAGAAATCATCACCTATCTACAGCTCTACTTTGTCCGGTGCATTCATAGCAATGAATCCATAGCCCAGTTTTCCTAGCAGCTGCCGTATCAAGTATCCATTGGGACAATAAGATTCGATATTCCACATAACTAGGTTTGATCTATACCCTCAAACACTCTACATCTATCCCTAACACCAGAGGCTATTGCAGGACTCCATGGACCGTACTGTTGGGTGTGATGGTGAAGAGGAATTGATGGGAAACAACACGTGATGCATCAAGGTTTGCTATGAGCTGCAATGACAATTGTCGTTCAGCTTCAGATCGAATTGGACACTATACCTCCTTGATGCCACAGGCAAACCTCCCGCCACAACCTTCCCAACAAAAGCTTCGCCTCCTACTCACGTTTCATCGAAGAGCTTTAACTTCCGCAGTTCAACCCTGATTCTCGTCGACCTCGCTGAAACTCGAACGATCATGAAGTGTTTCACTGCCATTGTTGTAGCCACCTTAGCAGCCGGCACTATGGCTGCGCCCCCAGTCCAGGACGTCGTGACTGGCTTCGAGTCATCGCAAACGCAAATCACTGGGTTCGGCCCCAAGGCCTCCTACACCGTCGCGCCCGACGCTGCCGATGGCGGGAAGGAACCGGATCACTGGACGGGCATGTGCACTGACGGGAAATGCGGCGATGGCACAAACTGTGCGATCTGGTGCAAGAATTGGACTGATAAAAACAAACTGTGATGTAGGTATACTATGGCCCATGTTTCCATTGACCGTCTTCCGAATCCTGATTCTCTATCAATTGCAGTACACAGTCTGTATGTAGCCTGTCCAGTGAAATATGGCAAATGGGATCCAATAGAACACACAGTGTTGAAAAACTGCGAGAAACAACAACGATAATGTAAACAATAGTTACTGTCCAGCTGAAAATGTAAGCAGTGTGCATAGATACCCCAGATTTAGGCCATGTAGTAAACCTGAATCAACAGTTTTACACTTGACTTTTTGGCTGTGGAGCTGGCCAGAATACTCTTCTGGTTACTAAAATTGAAGACATAAAATATTGGCAAGGAAAGGGGAAAATTTATCATAATTTTGAGCAGCTCCATGAGGGGGATCCAGTCAGTTTGCTCTTGGAAAATACTAACTTGGATTGTGAACCCTCCTAAGATGACTTGTGTGGATGCTGTTGATGGAGGTTTCCTTCATAAATCAGACTCAGATGGCTGTGGGACATTTTTGTTTGTACTGTCATCCCCTGGATACCAAGCTGCACTCATGTAGATAACCCAGATTGCAGACTTGCAACAAGGCTCTTGCAGCACCGAGTTCACAAGAAAATTAGCACACCTCTTAGTTTTGGATGATAAATGAATTATAAGAGTTTAATATATTTGCAAACTCTGTGGTAACCCATACCTTCATCAAACCAAACTCTCCTGCAACACATACAAAAATGGAAAAGTATCTCAAACCCATAACTGCCATGCACTGTAAAACATCCCAGTTTAATGAAAAAAGAAAAATAGGAAAATTGTGGTTTTGTCTGCTTCATTTTAGAGTAAAAGTTTGAATTTTGCTTGACTCAAAACACCAATTCTTTCATGCATTCCACCATGGAATATCCAACCAACCCAGAATGATTTTTCCAGGAGGTTTAGATGTCATCTTTGAAGCAATCCAATGCCTATACAGTGGAAACTCATATCTTATCCAGCTCAATAGATCACAGCTTAGCTAGTATCTGTTTTTGAGAAATATTAAACTTAGAAGAACAAATCCAAAATATAAATATAGCAAGGAATTATTTGAAAAACAAGAGAAAAATCAACTCATAGAATGTGAACAAATTTGGATGAATTAAAAGGGAACTTGATTGATCAGATAATATGGAATGTGTGTGATCACACTTTTCATTCATTAACTTGGTCATAAATGCAATCCAAACTGTATCCTCTCTGTGATACCCATGAAATCCTGAGATGAGAAAGATGAATTTTTGGGGCTGGATAAATGCAAGGCATACAGTCAGTGCATTATCTTTTGGGACTTATACTACTTACGGAGTACCTGGAGTACTGTATTGCTCTAGTTGTGGACAGAAGCTAGTAATAGAAGTTGGATCTTGATAAGATTTATACTTTCAAGGATTAGGACAATTCAACTGAGGCTTACTCAAGCTTCCTGAAGCTATGAAGCCAGGGCATCCCAGTCTTTGACTTTTTTGTATTGGGACCAAATAAATGATAAATTTACCAAGAAATGAGTAACACTTCAAGTTAGCAAAACTTGGAGTATTACCAGTTAATAAAGGGAGATATTGATGAAATTTGAACTGTTATGTCTTGTAGTATGATTCAGGAGGTATTTCTGATTATAAATGAATATATTAGTCAATTCTCTTCAAACCAGAGGGACAATACATATTGTAAAGCTTTGTTATCATTTAACACTGGGTAAGGAATAAACCCAACCACTTCAGAGAGGTCTTCCTTAAATATTGATACAGCCTTCATAAGGTTTTGAATATGTAGAAACAAATGACACCATAGCTCAATTATCTGTTAACTCAGATGGTTGATGGCCATGATAGCCTTATATGTTTGAGTCATCCGATTAATAACTCATAATTTTAAATATTTATTTTTGTATGTTTGATTTGTACTCTCTTTCCTTGATAGTGCATGAATTTTCATTCTTATTTATAATTCTATTTTTTATCTTCACTGATTATGATATTTCTCTTATGATTTACAAGAGATCACTTGATATTATTCTTGTCATAGTCAAGATTTTCATTGCTACCTCATACACTCTTGCCTATTGACATTATCCCAAAAATATGGCTTGATAGCTCACTACAAACCATACATATTTTGATTCAAAGGAAAAATAGCAATTTAGGTGGTGGAACATAGGGCAATTTCCTGGCATTTTTTACAAAATTCCTCAAGAGTCAAAATTAGGCCTAAGTGATGAGCTTAAAATTAATTCTGGGATGTTTGACAGATTTTTGTTTTGGCCTCAAATAGCTTCTTTTAGCCTAATTTCTACTCCTCATTAATTTTGTGAAAAAGTGCCAGGAAATTTACCCATTTTCCCCCACCCAAATTACTATTTATTCTTGGTGCAAGATACATATGGTGTTGCAAGCACGTCTGGGCACAAACCCAAGTCCCGCTTGGCCAATAGCCACCGGGGTTTTGATTTGTGCCCAGAGGGCTTGATCATGTGGGTTGTGCGGGGGGTGGGACTTGGCACTCAGCCAAGTCCCGCTGGGCCGATTTCAAGCCCTGGGCCGATTGGTGGCTCAGGCGCTCCCCTCCCTCTCAAAAACCCGTACAAACCCAGTCGACCAGGACGGGAGATACCCGTCTCGACGCTTGGTATACGGACAGAATCAACCGATGATGGTACAGCGACGTTCATCGGTCATCGAGGAGAGTGATTGACTAGTATATATGAACCGGTCATCAAGAAGGGATTCCTTCTCAATGGCCGGCATTTTGGAGGGCGTGGCACCCTCGCTTGATTTCGGTCAAGCGAGGCTTTGCTCCAACCCCCGCCAGCTTTGACATGTGCCAAGCGGGGGCTGGGAGGGTGCCATGCGGGCTTTACAGTCGGCCAAGCGTGCTTTAAGATCTGCCCAGCGCGCTTGGCCTGTTTTTGGCTGAAGTTTGGTGTGTGCCCAGACGGGCTTGCAACACCATATTGTTTGTAGTTTAGGCTATATAACAATTTTGATACAAATTTGAAGACATATTAGAGAAAATTGATGACATGCTAACAGGTTTGCTCTTGATAAATTATATTGTAGTGTATCATTAAATATCAGCCCACCTCTTCTATAAAGAGTGTAAACTAGGTCAAATAATTTCCACACATGTAATAATTCAGCTGATAGGAAATAAGTATGAGATTTTTTTTTCTTATATCTTCTTTCAGAAATATACTTTGAGGAATTTATAAACTTCTTGATATGAAACTCCCAACTTAATTAGATAGACTGTAAAGCAATCTTGCCAGACTGGCAGCAGTTGACATGCAATATTACAAAGGAGCCTTTGTAATATTTCTTGTCCACTGCCACCAGTTCAGTGAGATTTTTTACAGTGCTAGGTTGAGGGTATACAGCTAAACCAAAAAAGCTTGCGGGCTGTTGAGTTGGAATATCCAAAAAAAACTGCAGTCAGAATGTTTGGAAGAATAAAGACAGGAGTACAGGTTACCATATACCTGCCAGGAGCACCAATGGGACCTGACCAGCCCCATGGGGGGGGGGCTCAATAGTAGCTCATGCCGAGAAGGTAATGCTGTTGGATTGAACTTTGCATGAGGATTCCAATGGTGTTACTCTCATCACCTGAAAATGAGTGAACAAAAAGATAGAAAATTTCACCCAGCATAATGCATCCATACATGAACCTGTATTCTTCCAAAACTTCCAACTGTAGTCGATAAATTTTTTTTATTTATTTTTATTTTCTGACTTCAAAGCCCGCAAGCTTTCTTGTTATAGCTGTACTAGTTAAACTGGGCTTCACTCAACCAAGTTAAAATTGGTTGCATCTCAACCTATCAAATATGAGAGAATTCTGAATGAATTGCTTAGGATCAAAACCAGATTAAAACAAGTTATAAAATGAGTTTTTAACTGAAAGAGAAATAAGGATAAAAATAAGGGCCTTAATAAAAAAACCCGCATTTTCCGCGTTTTGACACGCTTTTGCTGCGGCACAGCACACGCGCAATCCGTGTTTAAACACGCTTTTTTAATTAATTTATTTTTGCCATTCATTTCGAGTTTTTTTGATTTTTTAAAGTTGTTTCCTACACTTTAAAAGGTGTAAAATTTAATGGTAAAAAGAATTTTCCTTAAAAATGAATTTTGATTATTAATTATTATTTTTTTTCACTCATTTTTCAATTAATTGTTTGCTTTAAGTTTTTTACCTCATTTTTCAAGATTTTGTGTAACTTTAAAGTTGTTTCCTACATTATTAAATGTGTAGAAATTTCTGGTGAAATCCAATTTTCATAAAAATGAATGGATCATTTTTAATAATGCAATTACACCCATTTTTTCACTTAAATTTTTAGAGCTTAATTTTCATTCTTTTTTGACATTTTGATTTTTTTCCTGCACTTTCAGACATTTATAAATTTAAGGTAAAAATCATTTTGCACCAAAATGAGAACTACATCTTGTATACTGCATTTGACACCATTTTTTTTTATTTAATTCTTCACTTTTTCACTCAATTGTTTGCATTAATTTTTTACCTTATTTTTTATGCTTTTTTGAAATTTTAAAGTTGTTTCCTACATTTCAAAGTGTTTAGAATTTAATGGTAACCTTCAATTCCCATAAAACTCAACAGTTCATTCTGAATACTGTAATTGGTCTTAAAATTCAATTGATTTTGGGCATTAATAAAAAAACACGGTTTTTCCGCGTTTACACGCGGTTTTGCTGCGGCACAGCGCACACGGTTTCCGCGTTTAAACACGGTTTCGTAATTAATTTTTTATGGGTTATTTTTTGAGTTTTTTTGAATTTTTAAAGTTGTTTCCTACACTATAAAAGGCGTAGAATTTAATGGTAAAAGCCATTTTTCATAAAAATGAATTTTGATTATTAATTATTTTTTTTCACTCATTTCTCAATTAATTGTTTGCATACATGTATGTGCCTTATTTTTTATGTTTTTTTAAAATTTTAAATTTATTTCCTAGGTTTTAATATGCTTAGAATTTAATGGTGCAATTCAATTTTTTCAAAACTCAACGGTTCACTTTTAATACTCAAATTACACCCATTTTTTCACTTAATTTTTTACAGCTTAATTTTCATCATTTTTTGACATTTTAAATTTATTTCCTACACTTTAAGACATGTAGAAAATTATGGTATCAACCATTTTTCCCCAAGTTGAAAACTATACCTTGAATGCTGCATTTGAC